ATTAGGGGGATGGATATTGCAGAAGGTGGTGTCCGAAGACAAAGGACAATCTCCTGTTGGCAGGCCACGCACGCAGCATACCCAAGTATATGAGGCCATATAACCGGCGATATGTGAGTTTGGCCACGCATCATAACATGTCCATATACTCGGAGCACCAAGAACCGAGCACCGAGCAACGAACATCGAACGCCATTAAAGTCAAATGCTCTACGGGGAATTTTCAAGGCGAACACGCCTGCTGGAAGGTGCCTAAGCATCCGCCCTTATTGCTATTGTGTGTTTTTTTGGGTTTTAGCAAAATACAAAATCACATAATGACAAGGACAGCGCCATGAAAAACAAACCAGAGCGCTGTCGAAATCAAAGTGTAAAATGTTGAAAATCGAATTTGGTCCCAGGAATGAAAAGAAAGAAAAATAAAACAAGAAAAATATATATAAAAGGAAGGCGACGGCGGAAACGGAAGTGCGGGATGGATGGCGAATGGGCGAGGTGGAAATGGCGAGGTGACTGTCAGACATGCCATTATTTGTTGATGTATTAAAGCTTTTATTTACATGCAGGTGAGCGCCATTTGTTTATATTTGTATTTGTATTCAATCAGCGTCAACAAGAGCCAAACAAAAAAAGAGAGAAAAGAATGAAAAAATCACATGAAAAGTGAAGGCAAATCAAATAAAATCAAATCACTGCCTTGCCGGCTCGCTGCCTTGCGCGTGTGTGTCAGTTTTTTTGTTCGTAGGATTCCCGCAGTAGCAAGAAAATGTCAGAGCCCAAGTGGTAAACACTCTGGGGCCTCTTCAATGGCTTTTTGGGCCAGCTAATGGCTGCAATTTCGCGCTGTCTGTTCATTATCATTCCTGCGATAATGTACTCGACGCTCTGATGCCGATGATTATGTTGACTGACATGCCCCGGCCCTGAGAGCTGGGGGGAAACTAGCTGCCCGGATAGATAATAATATGTCTAGGCCAACGCCAAATGGGTTGCACATGGCCTACTTGCCGCTGGATGTCCTTCCTCGGTGCTGGCTGAGGGTGAGGTTGGGAAGTGTGGAAGTGGTTGTGGCTGGTAACTGGTCTATGTTCCATCAGGCAGCGCAGTAATGAAGCTATAATTAGATAAGCGCAGTGCCGCAGCAAACTACTCGGAAAGTCTGCCAGCAGGAGCAAGAGCAGGGCCAGGAAAGGACGAGTATCTGCTCCTGTGCCGTGTGTATCTCACACACACTCTCACACACACTGTGGCAGCTGCCTTTGTATTTTTAGCCAGCGAAATGTAACAAACGTTTGACTAACCAAACTCCAGCTGACAGATGAGCAGGCCACTGGCTGTGGAGGGAAGGACGACTGAAGCACCGGAGATGGAGGCCAAGTGAGTGTGTTTATGAATGGGTGATTCCTTTTCACGGCACTCATCCATACAATGCCATCGAAGAGGAGGAGGGAGTCCTGTCTATTTGCTGGCAGCTAGTTAGTTGGGCATACATTGTCAACGGGCATCCGTTGCGTATACGTAACGTGCCATGATTTTCGGCAAACGAATCGATTGAGTTATTCCGCTGGAATTGCGATTTGTGTTTCTCTAATCATGGATATAATTGAATCCGCAAATTGTCTGAATGCCAATAATCCACACAAGGCGTAATTATGTGGGTAAATAGGAAATTAGGGATATCATTGTTACCTGAAATTGAAACCTTAAAGGTTGCTTTTTATGGATAATCAAGGGTGCATTTTCTCTGACATTTAGCTCATGTGTACAGCAAATTGTTTCCATTAAAACGAAATGATGATTTGATTTGAAAACTTAATTATTCAATTAAAACCTGTCTATACCACAGCTAAACTTTTCCAATTTCCCCTGATTCAGTTAGATAATTGGCACGTCATTCAATCAATTCATTCAATTCAGACAAAGCACCATTATTTCTATAGCATAAGCTTATTAATAACACACTCCAATTTATTTCCAACTAGGTCATCAATCAAAACTCGCCCCCGTGCTCTGCCCAGCTGCAAGTCGTTGCAATGTCGGATTCCTCAAGGTCGTAGTTAGTTCTATTTCCCAGCTATCTCAGCCCGGTTATCCACTTAGCCGACTTTTGCCGACCTGGCCAATTAAGAGCTAAACAAAGTGCGGTCTAGGGCAATGAAAATCAAATCAGATCACAACGCAGATGAAGATGCTGGCAACTCAGTTCAGACGGCTTGAGAACGATAGCCCATTGAGCCATCAATCAAACAATCACTTAATGAACTACTTCAAAAGCAGACGATGGCTCATTCTCACTTTAACTTTCACTTTCACCAGCTCCGCCTCTCCCTGAATTTTCCCTCGAAACAAAAAGCACGAACAACAATCGCAGACAAACACGCCAATTTCCACTTACAGTTGTGTGTTTTCCCCAATTTTTTGGGGGCATTAATTGCCTGGCGCTGCTTTTGTGCCATCGATTGAAAAAGTTTTTAGCAAGCCTCTCTCTGTCATCCTTATCCCCTATTCCTGCGGACACTCTAAGTACTTTGCCACAAAACTTTTGGCAGCACATAACGCTTAAAATGCGTTTAATTGAGAGTCATACTCGTAGGAGTCGGAGCGGGAGCCAGCTGGGCGCCAGTTCGTGTTTGGGAAAACCCCGCAAAAACTTTTCCCTCCAACTATTCAAACAATTTTGGCTCAACAAAATATTATTGCAAATAATTCGGTTAGACAGTTTACACATTGTTAAGCGATATCCGATCTGGGTCAAATTTGGCTCGAAGGTATTTTTCTAAAATTTCAATTGCTTGCTCTCGGCTCAGGCAGCTCAGGTGGAGGGGCTAATCCGGAGGAGGGACTCAACTGATGGAGTAGAAGGAGGTGGGCTGAAATTAATATTGAAATTGTGGCCACAAATTCCACTTGCAGTTTGCCCAAGTAAGTACATATATACCGAGAAGTTGCCTCAGCCTTGTATATATTTCTGGTAGCGGACCGCAATTTGCCGAAAAACTTTTGAACTTTTTCGAAAAGTTTACTTTATCAACTTCTTGTTCATAGTTGGGTAAGACAAATCAAAAAAGCCCCGGAAAATGGACGACTGAGCTGAGGGAAGTGTGAGGAGGAGCAGGTGGCGGAGGCAACCAAATTACTACCCTAATGCCCAACAAATCGATCCCCGGCTACGTGACAGTTGCCAGTTTAATTAAAATGAAATGCGCTAATGGAAATCTGAACCCACGTCATGTGAGTGAGGCGGTGTATATGGGTGAACCGCATTTGGTTATGATTAAACAGGCCCACGATGAGTCCTGCTTATGCGCGAATAAACAGCCATCAGGACGAAATGGAGCTTCGGGGAAAACAAGTGAAATGAAGACGGGCCAAAGCAAGATCCAACCAATGTGTGTGTGGGTGTGTGTGGAAAGTATTTTCCGTCGGTCATGTCTATATTTCGGTACGTGAAATATTTATAATTCCATTTTGAACAGCTCAAGGCAAAGGATAAGCTCGGAGCGGCCCAGACTTTATTTTTAGACGCTCGAAAACCAGAGCAAACGTGGGCAGGTGTGCCCAGGAGTAGGAGAGTGGGACAGGTGGGCGCCGCGTCGAGGTGAGCACATACCGACAGTCCCTGGCCCGAGGGCCACTTAAAGCATAGGAAAACTATTAAAGTTTATGCGTGGCTAACAAGAAAACAACAAAGCTGTCGCGGCCATTACCACACTTACACACTTACACACAGCAGACGCACAGCAGCGAAAAAGGATGAAGGACAGGGAACGAAGGGACATGTAAATGCTGACAAACAATAAAATGTGGCCAGCGAGGCAGCGCGGACGGAGTAATCCCTCCTGCTGACAAGTGCCAGGACCTTGGGCGAAGTTCGCTGAACCGGCGAGCGGAGCATAAGAGTCCTGTGGAGATCGGGAGGAGACACCCCGGGGACATCCAGCGCAAAATATGCCATATGTGGTGCTAAAATTCAAGCCCACATTTCGAGTGGTTGTGGTGTAGACTCCACGGCGTATACGCAATATAAATCTAATCTGGTAAACCAATGAGAATAGAATCAAATTAAGGAACAGTAAAATTATTAAAGAAAGGAAATATTTTTAAAATATTTTCCTTACTATTCTTGGAGTTAATAGAAAATAACATGAATAAATATTGAATGACACTTTCCTAAAAAACTATTTCTTAATATGCTTAACATAATATTCACTGCGAAACGTTATAAATAAAATATTAAAGGTATAAAGCCTTATTAATACCTTAACATATAAGAGAAACACTACGTTATGTTTCTGCCATGTAAAATGAAATACTTTGTTTAAATTATGAAATAGATAGCTTAAAAACAGTCATAACACACTTTTTCATTGTCTATTGCAGGTAAATATATTAACTTATATTATTTGTAGAATCACAAAAAATATTCTTAACTAAAGCCACTGTAATAAGTTAATTACGAATAAGTTTATATTAAAACAAGTAAATCTCTTTCACTGTTTTTCTTTTTTTTTCTGCACATGAAAGTTTGTTAATTGAGTTTAAAGGAAAAGTTTTTAATTCATGCTCCTGCCAAGCTATCAGGACTTCACTGGCAAACTAGTGTCCTCATTATGCATGTAAAACGAAGCACTTTCCGCGATCTTTAGAATTCAATAAAGCAACTATAAAATCTCCCGAAAATGTTGACAAGATGTTGGCTTGCTTGGGTTTTCCCCTCTTACTTTTCTTTAAGCCGCCAGCCAAGGAGCTTACACAGATTTCTGTTTGGCGGAAAAACTTGGGCCCGCGATGGCCAACTTAACGCCTTCAAGTTGTAAAACACTTAGCGGGTATTTCATGTTTTTCCTGCCTTCGGAGGGACTCCCCTTCAGGGAGTGAGTCTATCAAGGATTGGGGAAGGACATGGTGCGGGGCACACGCGAATAAAATCCGCGCCAGGCAAATTTTTGCTGTGTTGTAGATAATTTAGCGCAATTTACGTGCAAATTTGCTTACGTTACCCGCCAGTGGAGCAGTGGAGCAGTGGAGCAGAGGAGCAGCGGCGCAGCGACGGCAGATAGCGCACAGGTGTGTGCCGAACCTGTGGCCCAATGTGGCGGCTAACAGGCTCCGAGAATGTCGAGGTCCCTGATTCAGGATAAAGGATACGTAGGCACCGGAGCGCGAACACAACCGACAGCAGCTAAGGACAACGCACGACTGCTGGCGCCGACCAGGAGCCGATGTCCCAGCACGCCACCCGTATCCGAGGGCGGTTCCGAACCATTCTGCCTCGTCGTTGGTGTCGTTGTCGTCGTCGTCGGTTCCCGCGTCGTTTGGTTGAAAGTAAGCAGAAATAGAAATATGAACGAGAAGGCATGGATGTATGGCAGGACACGAATATGAAATACCTGGTATTTTAAGGACTTTTAGTGGGTCTTGAAGAAATTTGAAAGAATTTTATGAAGAACCCATTGATATTGGATAATTCTATTGGTAGCTGTCACTTGTCAAATCCAATCGATTGATTTCTCATACTTTTCATACTCAGAATGCCTATGGCAAAGAGTATTTATTGAGTATACGACTTCCTCCCTAACCCATTTCCGTTTCAGATCTTAAAGGAAACACCTCCAGCTTATTTGTAATGTTGATTTCGATCTAGAACCAATATCAAATACTCCAAAGACAACATACCTTCAAGTTCCAATGGGTATTGAGTATAAAAGAAGTAACCAAAATAGCAGCTGGGGCAGCGGAGTCGACTCCGACTCCGACTCCGTCACCGTCTCCGTCTGCGTCTCAAATAAATCGCTAGTAGATTATTCGTGCTGGCACCCAGTTGCTCCTCACCTCACCTCAACTCTCACCCCCACTGTCCATCGTAGCCGTCAGCGCCACGCCACGTTTGTTTCTTTTAGCAAAAGTTTTTTGAGGCCCGCGCCTGTGTGTATGCTACGAAAAATTGACAGGCACAACGCAAAGAGGACATTTTTTCAGTGAACTCGTCTGGCTTTGGAGTCCTCGACTGCCCGTAGCCTTTGGATAAGTAATTTTCGCTGTTTCTATTTAATTTATGACTCGTGTTTCCGTCTTGTTTCATTATTTGCCTTTTATTAATTTGTTTATTTGTTTATCTCTGCAGCGCGCGCGCCTCTGAGCTGCTCACTTGTTCATTGCGTTAAAGCCGTGCCAGGCCACTAGGCCAGGGGTCTTTCGCATCCCGATCCCATTCCCGGTTTGTGTGAACGCAATGCCCCCGCTTTTTATGTACTTTTAATACACTCACATAACCTGGAGCGGGCTTAGGTTGAGATAGACAGCTCCATGCAACCCATACATGTGCCGTGTCCGTTGCCTTGGCTTACTGTTGCTTCGCCTCTGCTCTGATCCGCTCGTCTCCCCCGCAAGTTCGTTTCCTGCTGTGGGCGAAAGTTTTCCTGGACGTCTTTATCTCGGCGTAGGCGAAGCCGTCGACATTCAGCCATTTTCCGCCACTCGCCACCACTGTTGCATGCACAGCAGGCCGGGTCGTAAACATCTTCGTGGGTAGCAGTGCTGAAAAGTGTCTATCTAGGAAGCTGTACCCAAACTCAATGATTTGTACAAGGAATTTTACAGAATACTTTGTTATTTTGTATACTTTTATTTGGTTTCTTATAGCAATTATTTTTATTAACTTGCTGAAGTGGTAAACCTTTTATATTCCCTCACCGAACTCAGTAAAAAGTACCTTGTACCATAAAAACGTCCTCCTATCATCACTGACTGTCTGGATTTTAGCTCCTTTATCCCTAACCGCTTTTATTATACTCTTCGGGCTGCTGGGTATTATAGGGATGTCAATGCAGAAGAGGTGGATTAATTAGAGCCCTAAAAATGTGGATCATGGTAAGCCAGCGGTCGAGGTACGACTGTATGTGGTCTGGTCTTGCCTCATGTCACGATATCTTTAAATGCCGCTTCAAGTTGAAGTGTGTACCAACTTTGTCTTGGCCATATTTGCCTGATTTATGTACTTTCTCATATTTAACTTTTAATGAACTTTAGTTTATGCACTCTCTCTCGCTTTCGTTCTGCAAGGGTCCGTAAACAGTTGGGTCCTGTTCGCAGGGATTTTAGTGGCCATTCCGAGTCCCTAGCGCTTGTTGCGCACTTGAGGCATAACGCTCATACGCCCTGTTGCACAAGTCGCATAAAGATGATGGCATATTTTTCGGTTTAGTGCGAGCCACTTAATAGACCACAAAACGCAGCAAAAGCCTCATAAAGCACACAAATACACACGAGCACAACCAGCCAGCAAATGGCCACAAATGACACGTTTGGTGTTAAATGGAGGTCGTCCAGTTCGCATACCGAGTTGCCGCTGTACGTGTGCGTGTGTGTGTGAGTGTGTTTGCGAATTGTGCGATTGTTGGGGCAGGCTGGCCTGTGTGTGTGTCGCAGTTACAGCTAAATTGTTTGTACAACATGCATGTAGAACAAGCATAAATCCAACCGCAGCCACATCCTCATCCACATCCACATCCACATCGACACACAAACACACACACACACAGCAACAAGGCGAGACAAACTGAGCCCAGGCGGTTGGCAATTAAAGCCGCTGAGCTTCGGCTCACGCACACACACACCGACACTTTTGGGCTGGCATTACAAGCTCTCACACACACGTGTACAGGCAGCTCCCATTGTGATGGCCCTCTTCATTCATTCATTGTTTTATTTGTACTTCGGACCCTTAATCGTATTAACCATTGCGACAATAAATCAATCGGAATAGCTCTCGGCCATCTGGACACTTACGCTTCATTTGTACGGCTAAGCCTCGATATATTGAGCACTTCAACAAATACCCACGACCTTTGATTAAGTAGGCAAGTGGATGGTACAATAATACTAAGGATTCTTAAGTACATCCCATTCGAAACCTACTATTAAAGGACCTCCAAGAGTAAAATTCAATTTGAAACTTTGAAGGTAAAGGATTAAAAGTTTACTATTAAAAATTAAAATAATGTTAACAAATATTTTGTAACTTTAAAGTAGTTAAATAAGAGCGTTATTCCAACGTGCTGGATTCTAGTTATTATTTTTTTTTTTTAACTTCTTATAAAAGAATTATATATCAGGGTAATCGATTTCCCGGAAGCCTTTTAAAAAATAGATAAAAAAACTTTCTCTAAATTGTCACTGTTAAGAGTTATTTATCGATTAAAAACTGATTTTTCTGGGTCCAGTAAGGCATTGTTTTACTGTAATTAACATTTGTTTGATCGCCACGCCTGCGTATCCTGGTACAATTTAAGTTAAACAAAAGCGCTATCAGCGCCTGTTCACATGTATATATTGGTGTCTTGTGGCTGTAGTGGCAAGTGTGAGCCTTTGCTAATGAGCTGTAACCAAAGGCAACAGAAGCGACCACAAGGCCCCGAGAGCCAAGAACAATACATTTACAGAAAATTGAATTCAACAATAACTACAGACACGGCAGGCCCATATATATACACATATACAGGAGAAAGCCCGCCGGCCGTCAATCACACACACACTGGGGAGAAGAAAGTAGAGGAGAAAGCAGGAAAAGCTCTGTCGTGAGCTGTCGCCATTGTGACTTTTATTGCAGGAGGCAGTTGCCGTTGCTGCTGCTGTTTCCACTGCAATTATCAGCTGTGGCTACAAATATGGGTGTACCTATGCCAAAACACACAGAAACAAAAGGCCATTTCTACAACCAGGGTGGAAAAAATTTATACAAAGCCAGAGTTCTCTGAAAAAAGGTTCTAATTTATTAAACTTTTAAAGTAAAATAAAAAAAATAGGATCCTGGAATACCCAAGGAAATATGTATATAATTAAAAAGCAGCTTGCATCAGGAATTCTCTATGTATCCCATATATATTATATACATTAAAAAACCCATAATCGCTAGAATTTTGCCCACAGCTGTAACTAACTCTCTGTACGAGGACAATTTGTCTTAGTTGCCACTGAAGCAATAGAGAGCAGAGGAGAAACGGACCAGTGGCAGGCAGCTTTAATTGCACGAAGCAAAAAAAAAGGCAGCCAGAACCAAAACATTGCACGATGTGCCGGCAAAAGCAGCACAAAAAGCCAAATTGGCTTTTTGGCCAACACGGTGGAGAGAGGCAAAACGTAAAGCTAAATGCAAAGACAAAAGCAAATCTTATTTGGGAAACAAGGAAATTTCGAAGTTGAGATACAATTAATCAACTTATTTCCAGAAAATAAAACATTTAAGTGCAGATATATATTTTAAACAAAGTATTTAACTCTAATTTAATAATGGTAACAAAATATTTTAAAAAGTTAAGGAATAATTCTTTACTAATTTTCCAACATTTCCCTTAACTTTATAAGACACCTTTAATCAAAATACTTTAAATTCCTTAAATATTTTCAATTATTTTGTAAACTTTTAAGAATTTAAGAAGATTTAAATTTTCCCGCAAAATTTTTCATAGACACAAACCACCACAGACTCAAACCTCCCTAGCAAGTATTGTGGCTATGCTAGCCTACGGTCACTCATAAAAAATTCGGTCACACTGAAAGTGAGTCAGGCGGTTTAACGTGCGGTTTTTGCAGTATTTGATTTATCTCGTTTTTTATTAAAAGTCGCCGAAACACAGAAGAATATGTCGACCTTGGCCTCTCCTTTGTCCATTGCTGGCACCCGCCAGTCGGGCGCTTCGGTGCGCACACAGAACGGTAAGAAACACGGGTATTTATCAACAGCTGCAGAGCGTCTGCCGGCAGAGCACGTTTCTTACTCAGCCAGACGGTCACGCTCCGGCCCAGAAGGTTCCGGAACATTGCAAGGGAAGGGCTGTGTCACAAGATTGATACGTCTTAAACTGCAAGCCACTGCAAATAAGAAGTTGCAAGCTCCCAATTACAAGCCCTTAAAGTGAGGTTATGACAACTTTATTTCTCTCCTTTTTCTCTAGTTATGGCTGCTCTGTCCATATCGAACATTGTGAAGAGTTCGCTGGGACCGGTGGGTCTGGACAAGATGCTGGTGGACGATATTGGCGATGTCACGGTGACCAACGATGGAGCCACCATCCTGCGTCTGCTGGAGGTGGAGCATCCCGCTGCCAAGTGAGTTTTGGTACAGTAAAGTTCTCAAATATAAAACTAATTGTATAATTTTAAGGGTCCTGGTTGAGCTGGCTCAGCTGCAGGATGAGGAGGTCGGCGATGGCACCACCTCTGTGGTCATTCTGGCCGCCGAGCTGCTGAAGAACGCCGACGAGCTGGTCAAGCAGAAAATCCACCCCACGTGCATCATCTCTGGCTATCGTATCGCCTGCAAGGAGGCCTGCAAGTACATCTCTGAGCACTTGACAGCTCCCGTGGACGAGCTCGGCCGCGACTCACTCATTAATATTGCCAAGACCTCGATGAGCTCAAAGATCATTGGTGCCGATGCCGAGTTCTTCTCCGCCATGGTCGTGGACGCTGCCCAGTCGGTGAAGATCACAGATCCCCGCGGCCAGACCGCCTACTCGATCAAGGCCATCAATGTGCTGAAAGCCCATGGCAAGTCCGCTCGGGAGTCCGTGCTAATTCCGGGCTACGCCCTGAACTGCACCATTGCCTCCCAGCAGATGCCTAAGAAGATCGTGAACGCCAAGATTGCCTGCCTGGATTTCTCGCTGCAGAAGACCAAGATGAAGATGGGCGTCCAGGTGCTTATCAACGATCCCGACAAGCTGGAGGCCATTCGTGCCCGCGAGCTCGACATCACCAAGGAGCGCATCAACATGATCCTGAGCACCGGCGTTAATGTGGTGCTGGTCAGTGGTGGAGTTGATGATCTGTGCATGAAGTACTTCGTTGAAGCGGGCGCCATGGCTGTGCGTCGCGTGAAGAAGAGCGATCTGAAGATCATTGCCAAGGCCACCGGTGCCGCCTTCCTTACATCACTCACCAACATGGACGGTGAGGAGAGCTTCGACGCCGCTATGGTGGGAGAGGCTGCCGAGGTGGCTCAAGAGCGCATCTGTGACGATGAGCTCATCCTCATTAAGGGCACAAAGGCACGGTAGGTACAGAAATACAATAAACCAATAAAAACCGAACTCAGAAACCCCGATTCTTTCTACAGCGCTGCTGCCTCTATTATCCTCCGTGGTCCCAACGACTTCTACTGTGATGAGATGGAGCGCTCTGTGCACGACGCCCTGTGCGTGGTGAAGCGCGTGCTGGAGAGCAAGAAGGTGGTTGCCGGCGGTGGCTGCGTGGAGGCTGCCCTGTCCATCTACCTGGAGAACTTCGCCACCTCGCTGGCCTCTCGCGAGCAGCTGGCAATTGCCGAGTTCGCCAAGTCGCTGCTGGTCATTCCCAAGACGCTGTCTGTGAACGCCGCTAAGGACGCCACGGATCTGGTGGCCAAGCTGCGCTCCTACCACAACTCCAGCCAAACGAAGCCCGAGCGCTCGGATCTCAAGTGGACCGGCCTGGACCTGATCGAAGGTCTGGTGAGGGACAACAAGAAGGCAGGTGTTCTAGAGCCGGCCATGTCAAAGATCAAGTCGCTGAAATTCGCCACGGAGGCGGCCATCACCATTTTGCGTATTGACGACATGATCAAGCTGAACCCGGAGGACAAGAGCGGCAAGAGCTATGCCGATGCCTGCGCCGCCGGCGAGCTGGACGGTTAGACATTCTCCTCACCTTCGAGGGACACTTCTTCTATTCAGTTTAGACACTTAATTTTAATTAAATCACTCACAACTGTCGCCCGCCCCATTTGATTGTAACAACAATGTAATTGTGTTGCCTTTTGCGATCTGTATTAACACAGCACATCCGTAATCCTTTCTCATCCACGCTTCCTGGCATAATAAATCGAACTTCAGAGTATGCTGAGGCGCCAACTAAACACTGGAGTCACATTGTTTACGTTATTACGGGAGAGTGGTGGACGAGAGCAGAGCACCCAGAGAGCCGGAGAGTCGGGCGAACGCTATAAATAGCGTCTGCATCTATTTCGTCTATTAATACAAAAAGAAAACACAGCACAAACGCACATTGCTCGACGAGTTTTTAAATCTTAAGGAATACTTTTCAATAAAATGTCGTCTAATAACGAGGAGGGAGCCGTTGGTGGCGATCTCAACAACAATGTCACAGCTCCAGCCCCTGCAAATGGCCAGGAGGAGGTGCATCCGCCGGAGCAGCCCCAAAATGAGCTGCTTGATATGGTTTTCACGCTGGAGAGTGAAAAACAGGCGCTGTTAGAGGAGTCTCGCAAGCGAATCGGAGCACTCCGCAAAGACTTTGAGGTTAGTTCATCCGTCTACATCGGATGCACCCATCTACTGACCCTGTTTGCAGGAAGCCAAGATCGAGAATGAGCAACTGAAGAGGAGAGTGGTGCAGCTGGAGCAGTCTCTCAAGCAGTCCGTCATGCTGGGCGGCACCGACGCCCCCAAGTCCCGGCAAGAGCAGGAGGAGCTGCTCGTGAGGGCCAAAACACTGCTGTTCGAAAAGACCAAGGTGAACAAACAGCAGGAGCAGCAGATAGCCGTGCTCAAGAACCAGGTGGAATCGGTTAAAGACGTACTCCAGGTGACCAAAGATATGCTGCAGCTGAAGACCACCGAGTGCGATCACACGCAGGCGCGTCTGGAGAAGAGCCAGCAGTGGATCAAGGCGGAGCAAGACAAATGTGCGCTAACAGAAAAGAAGCTGGTAATCTCCAAATCTGTGTACGACAAGCTGCGGGCCGAGTACGACACTCAATCCAAGATTTTCAAGGTACGTTGCGACTCCTGGGTGCCTTTTATTTCAAAATCTCATCTTGCAGGAACTGAAGTCCGCCTACGAGCAGAAGCTAAAGGTTCTCGGCGCGGCATTGGATCAGGCCAAAAAATAGCTGAACAATTTAATAAACTACGTTAATTAAATGCACACATATCGTGTATAAGTTTAATAATTTAATGCTCTTTGTTCTGTCCCGTCGTTCTTGCTTTCATCTACGAGGCCTGGGTTGCCGCCTGCTGAGACTGCTGCTGCTGGGCCTGGAGCATCTTGGCTGCGGCCGCTTGCTTCAGCTCCAGCACACCGATCACAGAGTTGAGGAAGCGCGTTTTCTGCAGGTGGATCTTCTCGATTTTCTCAATCTGCTCCTGTACGTACTCCACCCGCCGTTTGAAGTAGTCCTTAGAGCCCTCCAGGTCCTGTTTGGCAAACAGATGGTGGAGAAGATAAGCAGTTGTTCAAATGGGACTGGAATAACCAATAATATATGTACCTTTTCGATGTAGTAGCCGGTGCCTATGTCTATGACGAAGTTGTTGAGATCCTTTACACGTCCCGGCACGTACATACTGCTGGTCAGCGGCACGAGAATCTGGCGGTTCTCCCAGTTCGGCTGGAAGGTCTCCAGGGCTTCCTTGGATCCGGCGTACTTAGCTTTGCAGCCGTGCAGCGTTGACAGCGATTCCTGAATGTTGGTCATCTCCTGCAGGAGCCCAAAAACGGAAACTTTTAGAAGCATGTGCATGTGCCACTCGCAGTCCCCTCCGCACCACCGCCCGACACTCCCTGACTCATCGTGCCCACGAGAGATGAGAGACACCCGCACGCGACTCACCTGCTCGAACTCCTGCTTGATCTGCACGAGCTGCTCCGGACTCAGCTTGGTCAGGTCGATCATTTCGGCCTTGCCTGGTGCATTTGCGGGGGCAGCCATAATTTGTGCTTAAACTTATAATTTACAACGAGTTAATTCCAATTTTATTCAGTCGCCGTGCAAGACAGGGTTGTCGCCGTTTTCGAAGTGCCGAGGGAGATGCCACCATTTACGAAAACCAAAATGAGCTTAAAGAGTTGCCACTCTTTTTCAGAAGAAAAGCAATCGAAGCGCAATGTTTAAAAATTATTAGCCAAATATATGTATACTTCCGAATTGGTAATTTTAAACAAGATTTTATATTTTTTGATTGATTGATTCTGGTTTTAGCCTACTCTAATATATCTGGTTGGAGTAAGTCATGATAATTGTATTATAGTCCATGGCTATGGATTTTCTGTCATTTCTGTTATGGCATTAATGTTTTGTGTTGTCTAACAATCCAAATTTTAAATTAAAAAAAAATAGATCACAGTGAAAGAAAATGTCCCCTCCAAAAGATGTACCACTCCCCAAACCAGGGGACTTGCCTCTGGCTGAAACCAAAAAATTCAAGCAAGCGAAGACCAGTTCGATGAAGCGTTTCTTTAAGAATTTCTCGATCGGGCGCCTTTTTGCACGAAGAAGGGCATTTAAGGGTAAGAGTTCCTTTAAGAGCTTTTTTTTTTAAATAGGTACACTATCTTGTAAAGAAAATAAAACAAAGAGTAAAGTTGGAATTGGTGTGTGATCATATTTAAAATTCTGACTTTACCCTTGGCAGCTGGCAACCGGGTCCGGAAGGGGGCATCGGTAGTCAAGGAACCGGAGATGCTTGAAATGCAGGTGGTTCAGAACGAACGTACCTGGGAAGAACCCCAGCATTTGCCCATTCCAGAGCCGGAACCGCAGACTGTCTCTTAGATAGAGATTTTGCAGAAAAAACACAAGCAAAGCATCGCATAAAAACTGTCTGGGGAGCTGAGATTGAGATTTTTGGAGGGCTATTAAAGAAATTCGACCGTAAATGGTCGCACACCTCTGTCTGAAAATTGGCTTTAAAGTTTAAAAAAAAAATGGCAGATCAGTTTTATAAAAATTCAATTCTTAAATAAAACAACCCACACTAAGTTCAATGCTTTTTTTTTGTTTTCAATTATATTTTTATTTATATTTATTATATGCAATGTTATAATTCTGTGTTTTGTCAGTCATTCTGTATTTGTATGCGTTTTACAATTTTGTTTTTTTGGGTTTCTTTTCGTAAATTAAAAAATCTAACACAAAACAAAGCAATTTCTTTAACAATCACTGCCGCTACATATACATACACGATACAATTTTGTTAAATATATATATATATATATTTATAAGTAGGCACAGCTCAAGCGCTGCGCGTCCAATACATATTCTTTGTCATATATGTGGGTGTTGTGTTTCGGTTTATATATTTATGTATAGATTAGATAACAATGATATTAAGCCTAAGTAGAAGTAAGTTTTAGTACCGATACTGGCGATCGTTCCTTGCTGTCATCTGCCCGGCACCTGCGCTTCCACATCGCTTCCGATCCTTGAACTATTACGTTACATGCTTTAACTATGTTACTGTTACACATACAACTAACTGTACTCGTCCTTTACGCTTCTCCCCCTGTCACTATATCATACATAACATTTACCTTGACTCAAGTGTGGTTTGCCCTTTGCTTTTATTTTTATTTTTATTTTCATCGAATTCGGATAAATAACTTGTAATTAATTTGTGGAAACACAATGAAGAGAAGTTAGCCGGGGCGGATATTCGAAATTCCCTTTGAATTCGTATGTGTTGTTTGTGTGTATGTGTGTGTGTGCTCTCTGATAAATCGCATGGCAAATTTGTATAATTAGTTATATATTTAATTTTGGTTTTGGTATTCGTTTTGGTTTCCTCTTGAATCGAAATGAATAAACTTTGTGGTTTAGTTTAAATGCAGAGTTTTCCTTGTGCAGCATTAACATTGTGAAGAGATAGAGAGAAAGAGTTTGTCGTAGCCGTTTGGGAGAGAGTGTTACATAGATAAGTGGGAATGGTTGTATTTTTTGGTTATCAACAGCGCTTAAAATTTGTCGTTACTCGTTTGGATTCATTATCAAATCGAAGGGACGTACGTAATACATAATAATAATTGTTTCGTTATAATTATACTCGTAAGTTATATGCGTGTATATGTTGTATAGATGTACATTTATAAATAGTATAGTTTGGATGTAGCGTGTATGTCTTGTATAATATATATATTTATATTTATGTCCGTGTACGTGTTTCGCTATGTACTTGTAATTGTCCTAGGTGTTCATTTCAGCTAGATTCGCTAGTTTGTCTGCCTTCCTCCCTACATACGTTTTCGCCTTCCTTCCTCATTCTTTGTATACAAGTTAAGGGTTTAAAAAACTCGAAAATATATCAAAAGTTTTTTGAAATGCAGTATATATGTATTTTAGTTGTTAAATATATATATATATATTCTTGTTAATATATAGTACTTTCCTAGGTATATACAGCATACCTCGCCTTATTTTCCATTAAGAATTTTAGAGAAGTATGTCCAGTAATTTCGCGTGAGAGTGTTAGTGAGATCGGGGGTGTATCTGTGATTGGTGAGTGTGCGTAAGTATATCGAGTGTATATAGTTCCTTGTATATTTGATCCAAAATGATACACTAATTTATGTATTTATAGTGAAGCAAAATTTTAAGTATAGCGCATCAAAATGATATTTTTGATATTATTGGATACTGAATTCAATTACCAAATGGCGGCTTGCAGAAAGTCGAATCTCGCTCCGGATATAAAAGGATGCACACAGGAATCGCCAAGGATTTTAATTGAAATTGCGCCTAGAAGCAGGCTACAAAAATCATCAAATCATTTGCGATTTTTGTGTGGCATCCCCGTATGCGTGAGTGTCGGTGTAAGCGTGTGAGTGTGAGTGTTTGCGGTGACTGCTGATTGTGTATACGTCACGTTGGCTTCGAAAAATACGCTTAAAGCTGCTATAATACTGTAAAATTGTTGCATGTTCTCCTCGTTTTTTGGTTTTTTGTTGTCGGTAAAGTAATTTTCGCTCACATTGAATAGCAGTTGTAGTTGTAGAAAAGCTAGGTAGGTTCGCTTCAGTGTCTTACAGTGTCCTAGAGTGTGTGTGTAGTGTGTGTGTGTAGCGTGTGCCTAATGCGTGTGAGTGTGGTGTGGTGTCTTGTCTTGTCACTTGATATGTCTGAGTTCATATTGCATGCAAGGCGATGACAATATTTAGTCTCAAATACATATAAAAAGTATATGTGTTTTGGGCTCGGGATTTGAGGAATTGGGACTAACCAAAATTTGCATCAAGTTGCTGCACGCAAACGAAAAAGTCGCATCACGTTTACGTCAACCAAATCAAATCGTGGGGTAACTACTGCTGTGTCTTTGTATTATTCTGTTTGATTCTCCATAGTTAGTTATCCATTAGTTTATATCATTTACATTTTTAACTAATTAAAGCCGCTTTCAATTCAACAAATAATCCATAGCATAAATTCTTGCACTCATCTTAATCCTCATCATTATCATCATTATTATTGTAGTCGACAGACTATATCCTGTCTCGTACGTCTACAGCACCACATATTTTTTTTGTAACTTTACACGCTGCCTAGGCAAAGAAAGAGCCCCATTTACCATTTACCATTACTTTACGTTTACATTGCTGAATTTCTGCTAAATTGTTTAGTGGATTCGCTAGAGGACTTGCAGTTTACGGGGGTCTTCGTTCTTGTTCGTAGCATACTTTTTGTGGCGAAATATTTTACACAATTACTTCATTGGCTAGTGGCATAATTTATCATAACGCTGTGATATATATAATATATATATATAGTTTACTCGTTTAGTGTATTTTATATGCTTATTCGCTGATGGTTGTGGCCGCACTCGCGTGCTAGAGTTATTAGCAAGTCTTGAGTTGAAGCTATAATTTCTTAGGCGTAATCTAAACGTTACCGGATGCTGTCGTCTAAAGTATTTGCGTGTCTATCTGCTTGCCGCTAACTTATCAGCTTATCAGCTTATTGCCCACGAACCGAGCTGCGCAAGGCGCACCCTTATTATCCTTCCTTTCATTTGTACACTCTCGTCTCGGTCTCGATCCAAGTGTCGTCGACTGTGTCTGCGTCTAATTAACGTTATGAGGCTGCTAAATAAATATATATTCATATATATATATATATACGTTATGCGTATGTGTATCTTAGGGGGACATTCACTTCGGCTTTCGGCTTTGCACTAATTGCATTTTATTGCTAATTTGACGTTAATTCCTTGCTACCCCGACGCCTTACACATACCACTCCTTAACGTCCTTGGAGTCGCGTTTCTTGGCCTTGGGCTGCACCAGTCCCGCCATCTGGGGCCGGCCATCGCTGCCGTAGCCCAGTGACCCACTTCCGCTGGACATCATGCCGCCGCCGCCACCGCCACCACCATTTCCGTTTCCGTTGTGCCCATTGTGCATCTGCTGCTGGCCATGGTGCTGCTGCTGCCCGGGTCCACCTCCGCCCTGATGATGGTGCTGCCGCTGCTGATGGTAGGAGCCATTCGTGCTAGTGTTACCCAGGAGCGCCGCATTCGGATTGTGGGAACCGTAGGCCGCTGCCTTCTCACTCTCCGTCTTGTAGCCACGATCTCCGTTAGACTTGAGCCACAGGACCAGCAGGATAACCAACACCACGGCGATAAGAATGCCAGCCACAATGCCAATGATCATGGCAGTGCGTTCTTCCTCGATGGAGTTGATTCGTCCGCCCTTGCCCTTTGGCCGGTAGTTGTTCATGTTGGTGTTGTAAGTGTTGCCACCATAGGGTCCATAGGGTGGCGATTCCTGCGGCGGAAGTGGTGGCGGAGGCGGTGGAAGGTGCTCGTCTGGCAGCTGCATACGATCGTGATCGTTGCGTCCAGAACCACCAATACCTGCATTGTACACATCATACGGCGTGGTTTCCCGCTCCGTTACGGTATTCCTTACATCCGGTGACGGAGTGGCCTGTGTAGTAGTGGTTGTTGTGGTCGTAGTGGACGTAGTCGTACTCGTGCTGGTGCTGCTACTGGTGGCTCGCTGCGTGGAAGTAGTGGCCGCACTGCTGGTGGTGCTCGGCTGTCCGGGAGTGCTGCTTCCGCTATTGCTGATGCTGCTGCTGCTGCTGCTGCTGCTGGACTGGGTGGTGGCATAGGACGGAGTGCTTCCACTGCTGCTGCTGCTGCTGCCATGCTGCTGCTGCTCTGTGGTGACATCGCTGCGCCCGGTGGTGGTTATAGTGACCATCTCATTGTTGGACTCTGCAAGCAGTCGGTTTGGGTTTATTCAAGTGTTCTCAAGTGGGGTCTTAGGCATACATATGTATATGTTTTCTTGTAAGTGTAGGTATTTGAGTTGAGACTCCTGAGATAAATATTAACCTCAAATAATAATTAATGTAACCTAGTTTTATTTGAATTTTCCATTGTTCTTAAAGAGTTTCCCCATCCCCAAAAATCATATCAACTGCCAGTTTTGCTTTGCTTTTTCATAGTTTATTCAACACAGTTAGAGAGGATAGAGATTTAGATATTGAGAGATATGCTTGTATGTTGGGAGAGTGTGTGTTTGTGGTGTATTCTTATCTTTGGGTGCTACTTGACCTGCTCGCTCCTGGCACGACCTTCTGTGCTGATATGTACAAATTGGAATTGGAAGAACACGGGTACAACTACACGATAACGAGGAGGGAACAAATGTGAAGGGAGAGGAGCAACTGGAGAACGGGAAAAATCACATCTTACACTTGTTCAGAATTGGCTTCTTCTTTATCGCTACTATGTACAAAACATATACATCATACCTATATATAACCATACATATATATATATGGATATATATCGCTTAACCCTTATCGCTTAACGCTTAACGCTTAACCCTCTCTCAAACGCAAAACCCTGTGCCAATGATTGGTGTGGCTGTTGTTCTGGTTCTTGAAGTTTTCTGGCTGTTGTTGTTGTTGTTTCTGGTTGTTGTTGTTGTTGTTGTTGCTGTTGCTGTTGCTGGTGGTTTAGCTCTCGTTAATACTAGGAGTTATACAGTTATACAGTTTTTTGACAGAGGCCTAGAGTTGGAAGCTTAGCCTAAGTGCATTGCTTTGGTTGTTATTTGCTTTTTTATTGCTTGTTTGCTTATGGGAATTTACAGAGTATCCATGGCGCAATCACAGTCAGAAATATGAAGGCGATTTCACATTCTGAAAGAGACACATAAGGCGTACTCGTTGTCAGTTCAAATTAGAAGGCAATCAATCATCAGCAACAGTTGTGGAGATGAAGGAGAGGCGACATTGCATTTGTTGCGATTCGTTTTTATATATTTTCTTTTTTTTTAGTTTTTTTGGGCTGATCTGAGCTGAGCTGAAGATGACACGGCGACTGAGAGCGACTGACTGATTGGTTGGATTTTGGTTCTGGTTGGGTTGATGCATTGCAAGGGGTGCGATATTGGCGATATATATATATATATATGTATATATATAGTTATATACGTTTGTTCGGGGCTGTTTTGATTTTGATTTTTTATGTGTAAGCGGTCAAAGCATTGGCATAGCTTCCTTGAACTCCGTGGAGCATTGAACAAACAAACTGAAAAGGCAAAGCGTCACTAGCTAATTGGTTATATGATTATATAAATTCGATTATTGGTTACAACTCGAACTGGAACTGGAAGTTGAACACAACGAAACCCACAGCTTAATCGTTAAAACGTTCTCTACTTTACTAAGGTAACGGAGCGTATACTTGATGCGTATACTTGATGCGTATACTTGATGCGTATACTTGATGCGTATACTTAATGTGTATACTTAATGTGTATACTTAATTCAAATTTTGAGTGGGACTAGCTAATGTCTGAGATGAAGTGTGTGTTTGTTTTTCTTCATTGGTGTTGTGTGGTGTTTCCTTTGTTTGACCGTGTGTGATTGATCCAAATGCCAATGACAAAATGAGACCACCACATTGCTGAATACAAAATGTCAACTCACCTGCACCCGCTCCTCTGGCCGTGCTCGTTGAGGTAAACTGCTCCGTGGTCTCACCATAATCGCCGGATCCATGGACACAGTCCTCGTCATCGCAGGCTCTCTCCGTGCCATTGGTATTACCACCGCTTCCTCCGCTGCTGCCTCCGCCGGTGCTCAGACTATTTCCCTGCTGCGAGGTGGTCGTCTGCTTGGTGGGCGGCACATAGACAGGAGTGATTAGGTCATCACCGCTGCCCGACTCGAAGGGCGGCGTGCACTCGTCCTCGTCATCGCCACGACACCCGGACCCAGCTCCAGAGAAGATCAGATCGTCTAGGGCACCGGGGAAACCACTCGCCGGCGTCTGTCGAGTAGAGTTCAAAGTCTAATTTTACTTCAGTTGATCTGGCGGCAGCCGGGCCAAGCGTTGATTATTGTATGGGGTTTTGTTAGTTGCATTAGTAAATTGCTTAGGTGCTGCTTGATTAAGTATATATGTGTATGGATTTGAGTATGTAGCAAGCCACGGGAGATGAAGTATTATATTGCAAATGTATCTCGAAGAGTATAGTATAGTCTTGTGAGGCATTTCACACAATCTCAGGCATCCTGAAGATACCATTAAACTTTAAAGAGTTAAAGGGTAATAAGTTACTTAAATTCTTTAATAATCCAAATTTAGATAACTTTCGAATCTCCAATGGCTTCCTTAAACAAGTGTCGTGAGTATAAATATGTATGTTCGATGTGAGCTTTGATTAGAGTCATGCAGCATTTGGTGCGGACGAGTTCTAGTGCATAGTAAATCGGTAGTATCAGTTTATATGGCTGTATATATATATATTTAAATATATTCACAATTATTGAGTAATGTGCGCTGTGCAGCAATTGATACAAATTAAGGGGAACTCAAAACGCTGTTTAGTCTCGATTTTGTTATTTTGTTGGTGCGTTCAAAAGCGTTTACAGAATAAAAACGAAGGCTCCCGAGGGAAATCATAATTTCAAATCAAATGCAGCATTTACACTAGGTTTATACAGTTAGTAGTTAGCTAATACTTTTGGTTTAGTTTGGAACAGTTAACGTTTATACTGAATGTCGAACCGAATTTCCCGCATTTGATTTTGATGACGATGAGACTTCAATGTACAACGATTAAAGGCAATGCGATTTATCGGGCTATATCGAAATTGTGCTTGGGAACTGTACAATATTCGTAATTATTGGTGGTGCAACCAAATATTAAATCAAATTATGTCAAATCGTGTCAAATCGTTTTGGGGGAAAAGGGGTTCCACAACTCATGAAGCGGATTAATACAATAATTTTGGTTAGATTTTCGTTTTTTTGGTTTCTTTTGTATTTAATTAAAAAAAGAATTTTGAATAAACTTGGTTTACGATGAGAAAAATACTTGGAAAGTTGAAAGTTGAGAGGAATTCAAATAAAATTTCAAATAAATTCCCTAACCTGCTGCATTCTCTGCAGATCATTTCTATCTAATACTCCAGTTACCAATTGAACATCTCCACGGATGGTGATATGGGGGTCGCGCTCGACGGCCAAGTCAAGGATTCGCAACTTGTTCACCGACAATCCGGCAATCACGCCAGCGAACGGCCGCTCGATGCGACTGCGACCGTTGCGGCTGAATTTGCCGCCGACCTGGACGTTGGACATGGTATTGAACACGGTCGAGTGGTGGCCTGTAAGTCAAGAACAAGAAGATTGGAATTGGCATTAGATAACCCCCGGTATTAGATATCCCTGCACTTACTCTGCGGCGTCAGGGCCTGCACATTGTAGTCGTCCAGCTGAAGTGTGGCATTGCCTCCTTTGCGCTGGAACCTCACCACATGGTAGGCATTATCGTTGACCTTTGTGCCGATCTCGCCCAGCGGCAGATCTACGCTACCAATGTTGTACACCATGAAAATGTTTCCCTCTACGATCTCCAGCTCCATGTAGTCCTGGGTGGTGTGACTCTCCACCCGCAGAAGCACTGCGTCTGGCCTGGTGGTAATGAAGCCCAAGGCTATGTTGTCCTCTTCGGTGTCGGCCTGTGCGTTCTCCGGAAAGGTGTACTGCACCATGCCCTTGTTGTTGCCGAACTCGTAGGCAATAGATTCTGTAAGGAAATTATTTTTATTTACAGTTTAAAGTTGAAGAGTCTCAGTTATCCTTCACTTACCATCATAGCAGGTGGGTCCTGTGTAGGATGTCATGTCACATTCGCAGGCATAGGCATTCCACTGCTGCACACAGATTCCCCTATTGGCACACGCATTCTGGCTGCACTTGGTGGGTCCCTCGCAGCCACTGACCACCAGGGAACTGGGCACCACCGCATCGCTGGTGAGTGATGGGGAGGCGTCGCCCAAGTCCAGTGAGGACAGGCAGCCCTCGAAACCGGATCGGGATGAGATCGAAGCCGGCAGCTTGGCATACATATCCTTGAAGACGCCACCGATATACAGGATGCCCGCCAGCTCCAGATGCATATTATTGCCGGTCAGGCTAACGATTTCGAAGGAGTCGTCCACCGTGAGCGTGTGGGTCTTGGGCCCGGGTCGTCGGATGCTGACCTGGTGCCAGCGGTTGTCGTTCATGTGGATGCGAGACTTATCCCGCATGGTCACCGGACCATCTCCCAGGTCGAAGGTGTAGTGAATGTGTCCATTCACCAGCTCCACTGCCACAAAGTCACTGCGCCGTCCTCCGTTGAAGACCAGCAAACCATTGGGCTCCACGGTCTTGAAGCGGAAGTCAATCGAGATGCTGTTGTAGGCCTTCAGCATGGCCAGACCCACGTAGGAGTGCTTGGAGCGGAATGTGGCCGCATGGTAGGGCTGTCCAACCGGAGAGTTCACGAAGCGCGCTGTCAGCTTGAAGGTGGCACTGGGCAGAGCCGAGAGCTCTGGTCCCAGACTCTTGACAATGTCCAGATAGCTGAGAAAGAAACATAAATAGGGATCTAGAAATCAACGGGACTGAAAAGATGAGGACACCCACCGCTGGCCATTGAACACCAGGCCCTGCATTTGTCCAACAAAATTCGGCATTGTCGAAGTCATCTGGATCTCCTCCTCGGCATGGAAAAGCCCGCCCAGGTGGATCGAACGAATCTCCATGGTGCTGTGGCGACCCAGGATTGTCTCGGCTGTGCAAAGAATATTTCCAAAAACAAGAAATGGATAAAACTCGGGCGCCTCGCCATGGGGTTGTCAAGCCAGGCTCGGCTTTGCTCTAAGTTGTTGACTAGGCGGAGTACCGTTAACATTGGATACATATGGATATACTTGGATATATATAGGTATTCTTTTTTTTTTTTTGTACGAGTAGTAGAGTATATGGAGTATAGTTGGTGACAAGAAGCACATACGCATTTGTAGTCAAAGAGTATATAGTTGAGTATTAAGAGTATTGAGTAGATATAGGTATGCGGTTTTAGTAGACATAGATCTAAGTTTGGTTCATAGATTTTTCAAGCAATTGTTTTTTTTTCACTCGACAGGTGGCTGAATGTTTGTTGGAATTCGATTGGAGTATAATTATTATTATTATTATTGATTTGTTGCGTTGCATCTTGGTACATACTAAAGAAAGGTGCAGATTACAATACATATGTACTGGTACGGATAGTAGTTGTAAGTTAAGTTAAGTTAAGTTAAGTTGTTAATTAAGAGAAAACGAAATCGATAATCGAAAATCGAAAATGGTAAATTGAAACTAGCTCGCGCTAGTTAGCGCAAACCAAAGGAAAGTAAGTAAAAGTAAAGAGTTCGCTAGGTTAGATTAGTTAGTTGGTGCGCTTTGTTCTGGTTTACATACGAATATGCATTGATTGACATTTGAGAAATACTTATATATCATTTCTTAGATTAGTTTTGGTGTGTGAGATACATTTTCAATACGAATACGGTGGCGGTGACATTTCAGTTAATTTCATTTGAGTTTTTTTCTCTCAGCTGTGCATGGCTCAAAAAAATCATGAGAAAATAGGCAACCTACAAACGGGCTAGTAATAGAAAATGAAAAGGTCACAGAGATATAATATCGGTAATAACCATGTTAATTGAAAAAATATAGAAAATAAAAAAAAATTTCGGGGAGTTTTGCTGAACGACATTGAACTAAACATCGATGGGTTTTTTGGGGGTTACTGTCCAGGTTTTTCTCGTGGCAATGGTAATGCTTTTGTACTTTTGTAAATGTGTTAATCTGTGCCCTAGAGAGTTTCATGTTGTTGTGTGTTGTGTGTTTTGGCCTGAGTGTAGTTCGGAGTGTGTGTGTGTGTGCGACGACTACGTCTAAGTTAATAAGGGTGCATTAGCCTTAACGAGCGGCCACATTGCGCATACGACGCGTTGGCCCACCGAATGATTGACATCTTGACATGCAAATGACTTTGGCGACAGAGAGAGAGAAAGGAGAGAGCGACAGAAAAGCAGACACAGAGAGAGAATATAGATATATATATAGAGAGAGAGAGAGAGCGATGTGGTGGGTAGAATTCGAAGTAGGCCACTGTTGTTGCAGCTGGCAATTTGGCGCATTCACAGTTACTTATTCATACACTTGAACTGCTGAGTGGACTGAGTGGAGTGATACGATGCGGTGGCGAACGATACGATATATACGATATACACTGGTTAATACACACTATAATACACTGTACAATGGCTAGCCGGATTCGGGGGATTCGGGGCTCAGATCGTGAGCAGGTCATGCGGTACGCTATTTCATTCTGACTGACAGTTATTGGTTTTGGTTCTGGCTACTGGTTACTGGTTATTATCGTGGTTTTATTGTTGCTGCTGCTGCTGCTGCTGATGCCTGTCTTTCGGGTGCTCACATGCAAACACTTCACGTGACGTGAGTGTGTGTGCAAACGGTGCGAGAGAGAGTGTGTGGGTGTGGGTTTGGGTGTGTGTGACTATGCCTGTGCCTGTGCAGGTGTGCAAGACTTCCGGTTGGCAGTGTGTGAATGTTTGCGTCTCAGTGTGTTTGTTGTGGCAGGAGCAGGATCTGGCTACAAGGACACAAAGCCTTTGAAGGGCGAAAATAATTTATACAAATGCTTGTATAAGTTGTATAATTTATTAATTATTTAAGGAATGCTTTCCTGAAGAATTTATTTGATGTTAAATTATGAAAATGTCTTGGTTTTAAGTTTCACTTTGAAATATATTGTACATTTTGGTAAAGATTTGCAATAAATGCAATAAGGTATGCGCATCAAATTGATCATGAAATTTTATGTAGCATACATTTACGCATCACTTAAGTGACTTGAAATCGTTAAAATTTTAAAAAGAAGTATCAAAGGAAAGTCTGCATTTTTTGAGATACTAAAATTGGAACAAGATACAGTAATGGAAACCATTACTATGAAACATTTTAGACTGGCGTTCATTGCAAGCATTTTCTTTCTGTGTAGCCATCCCCATAGCCTGCCATTGATTGATTTTTTCTCCTTTCGATTTTTTCCATTAAGGTGCTTTTGGTTTTTGTTTATACACACTTACACAACAAGAATCTAATTGTACGTGAGACACGTTAGGCTTGATTAGTTAGTTGCAATTTGGTTGCGGTTGCGGTATTGTTGTTGTATTGATGTTTACGAATAGTTGAGTTTACTTAACACAAAGCTAATTACATATTAAATGGTGCAAAATTACAGCCCTGGGCGCTTTCAAACATTGTTTTGCCCTCTCGTCTCAATGAGCCAGGCTAAAAGGAGTCATATTTTGCAGCAATTTGGCAATAGCAATCGCAATTTGCCGATGGCGTGACTTTCATCGAGCGATTTGGGCAAAAAAATGTTTCCCCGCGTTCTTGCGTGTCGATTTTTTTCTCTCGCCTAAAACATGAAACGGAAAAAAACGATATTGTACATTGTAAATTATTTACGTTGCGTTCCCGTTCATTTTGCATTGTTTCGCCTTACTCATTTTCTCTGTGGCATATTTTTTCTTTTCTTTTTTTTACGTTTTATAACGCTCTCTCGGTTGCATTCATTTATTGTTTTCTTTTTTTCAAGAAGGTCATTAGATCACGTTTGTGATTAGGGAATTGCATTTGCATTTGACATTGTTATTAGCTGTTGTTGTTGGTCGTTGTTCTACATTCGATATTCGTCTGAAACAAACACCTTTTAACGTTTACATACCGCACGTGTCGTTTAAGTTATGGTACAGCAAATTATTTAAGTCATTTTCATTGTTTAAGATTATCATAGGTCTTTAAACGAAAACTGATTTCCAGATATATATATTTACAGAAAACAAATGGATAAACAAAGGATATTTTAGTGGGTGGAAAATAATACATTGGGTTGCCAAGGAAATATAGGTTTAATTTAAAATATTTCTTAAAGGATGTTATGGTTTATAGTTTTATATCAGTTTATAAAGGACCATCTTTGGCAACCCTTTATAAACCCAAAATGAACCAAGGAAAACTGAAAAAATAACTCGATTAATCAGGGGACAAAACAATGTACAAGACAATCAATATAATTGAAAATATTTATAACATTTAAGGCTGATACTTTACAGCTGTCCAACTTTCACTTGCGTTCGCATTTACTCATTTAGATTACATTACGTTCGAATACGTTGACTGTGTGGGCTTAGGAATTGGAATTTGAATTGTAATTGGAATTGAATTGGCAATCTTAACTGGGAAATCAAACCAAGTAAGTAAGTAAGTATCGCAAATGAAAACACAACATCGAGATGTTTGAAAGAGTTTTGAGAGAGAAACTTACAAGAGCAAAGTATATAAAAATTATTACGAATGAGTAGTTGTTGATAATGCGATCGAGTCTAACACCCATCCCTCCGATGGGTACTTTGACTCGATTCGCATGAGTATATGCCATGAATGATTCAAACAAACTTTCAGAGAGGCGTACAATGTGTGGAATGGTGTCGAATGTGGATGTGGATGTGGAGCTTGGTGTCTTATGATGTTCAAACTATATTGCAGATGCTTAACGATGTTCAGAGATACAGAGCGAGGTAGACAAAGGTGGATAGATAGACAGTAGAGCTGTTTAGTTCATCATCATCATAATTGGAGTACGAAAGTTTTGAGAGAAATGTGTCATGAGAAATGAGAGAGAGAGAGAGGGAAATAAACTGGCTAAATACTTTTCCAAATTGTTTTCTTTCGTTAGTATTTCAACTGCATTTCGTTCAGGTGTAATCGCATGTGTGTGTGTTCGCATGTGTTTTGGTTGTTTCGTGAGATTGTGTTGAGGTTTCGTTTGTTAACTGAAAAGCTCTCAAATGAAAAGGTTTAAAGTGAAACTTAAAAACGGAAAACGCGCTGCTGACTGCACTTTCCTTCGTTATTGATTTTCTTCTTTCGTTCCTCCTTTCTTTTATTCAATTTTTTCTTTGCTTGTATCTTTTTTGATTTTTCAACTGTCCTGAAGCACCTTCACACACCTTCCTGCTGAGAGGGGCATTGGCATTCCTACTTGAACTTGAACCTGGTTCTGTGCGTGGAGCACTGGTCATTTGGAAGCTAATCGAGGGGAATTCTTACAACTCGTGGAGTCGGTTGGTTGCTTGGTTGATTGGTTGACTGGTTGGTTGGTTGGTTGGTTGGTTGGTTGGTAAAAAAAAACGACACGGCACGACACGTAGTAGGGCATAGATGTGCTGTTGATACATACATAACATACCCCTGACGGGGGGAGCCCCGTCGACTTGTAGGCGCAGATTGGAGGCTCTGCGCGAGAATCGGATCGTGTGCCAGTTGTTGTCATTGAGCACCGACTGGCCGGCCAGCAGGTTCTGCAAGGGAATTATTCAAAGGCTCAGAAAAACTGTCCCTACATCTCGGAAAGTCGCCTTCAATATTGGCAACTCAATGAGGGATCAATAGAAACATTTCCCAGAGAAATTAAAATCATTATCTCTTTGGGTACTGGTTCCTGCCTCATAATTAAAGGCGACTTTCCAATTTTGAGGACAAACATAAAGACATTTCACCCCCCGGGCCAACTCACCTTCTCCCTGTCACTCAGACGGACACTGGCCCGCACCCTTCCCGCCACGAGAGCAATCTCCAACCGATCCGGTGAATTGGACTCAGCGCTGGTCAGCAGCAAAAGTCCAGCAGGACGTGAAGTCTTGAAGCGAATGACCAGCTCCTCGGTCTGCGTCTTCGTTCCCTGTCCATTGCCCAGCCAGATGGTCATGTGCTGGCTGCCATTGAAGGCCAGCGTGGCCAGCTCCCGGCCGCAGGTGGGTCCGCCGTACAGAGTAGCCGAGCAGTCGCAGATCGGGCGGTTCCAGCCCTCCAGACAGGTGCCGCCATTCAGACAGGGATTGCCGTTGCACACGTTGCTCTGAACGTGACACGAGGGCTTCACGGAGGCTGCTCCCAAGTGGATTATCAGTGGTTGACTATCGCTGGCGTGACATCGCTACACGGCACTACTCACCCGAGTCCTGGACGCGTGCAAAGGCCGCTATATCGATCGCCTTGCCACTCAGCACCAGGTCACGCAAACAGCCCACGAATCCCTGACGCAAGGTAGCGGTCCAAATGGCCGCCGGCCAGGCCACACTATTGTATGCAGGTCCCACGCCGCCCAAGTACATGTGCCCGTCCAGCTCGAGAATGGTTCCATCTCCGGGCGTGCGGAAATCATTCCACACCCCATCCACGCTCACCTTGGCGTCGCGTCCATTTCTCCGGAGAATTAGGTCGTGCCAATCGCCATCGTCCACGCGTCGCCTTGAGGCCCTCACCTTTGAGGCTCCGGATCCCAGGTCCAGGTGGATATAGATGTGGCCATTCAGCAGTTCAATTGCGATCAATACGGGCTGGTTGATATTGAGGATTAATTCACCATAAGTAAAATTGGGAACATAATTCAGGAAACTTACATTCTTGGCCCGTGGTTGCTTGGATCCAGTTGCCAGGACAATGATGCCGTTGGGCTCCTTAGTGCGGAACTTGAAGCTGATGGAACTCTGTTTGCCAGTTTCCCAGGGAGGCAAGACCTAAGCAAAAAAAAATTAACAATTAATTATGTGATGTGTGCTACTATTCTTAATTAGAATCTGACTTACCAGATGGGACTCACGGGTGGTGAAGGTCACGGGATCCTGAGGGTCACCACTGGGGCATTGGTACTCCAAGTTGCCAGCCACCTGAATGAGCTTGGAACCGCTCTTGGCCAAGTCTATTAGGTTCAGATTCAAAGTGTCTGCCGAGAACTCCACCTTCCGCAGGCAACCCACAAAATTGTTGTGGACACGGGCACCCAGAAGCGCCCTTGGATTAACAGCTCCGCCCACATAGACACGCGACGAGGATAACATGGTGAATTTGCCAGCAATGTGCGAGTGATCCGTATAGACATCGTCCACCACGGTGACCAGCTGGAAGATAAGATCTCCCTTGAAACTCTAAAGCCCAGAGAACCAATTAATTACTCACCCGACAGAAACTGGTGATGGATGAGATTTCCTGGATGCGACGGTGCACGGTGACCTTGTGCCATTGATGATCGTCAAAGCGCACCTTCGATGGCTTTATGTGCATCTCTTGCTTCCCGTTGGCCAGTCCCATGGTTAGGGAGACACCTCCATCGCGCAGGGCCAAGTTCAGATAGTCCGTGCCGTGACCCGTGTAGAAGAGCAGGCCGTTGGGCTGGCGGGTGCGAAAGTAAAAGGATATGGCATCCTGGGCACTCACTATCGGCTCGGCGCCCGTCTGGCCCAAGTCGTAGGAGAGGAACTGTGTACCGCGGAACGTTGCTTCCGATGGCGCCTTCTCCTTCTCACAATACTGGCCATCGTACTCGAGGTTTCGACACTCGCAAATTGGACCGGAATCAGTAGATATGCAGATGCCGCCATGCTGGCAGGGATCGTTCCGCTCGCAGGCATCTGTCGTATTGCCCCGAACACCCTGCAGGAGTAATTTTATATATTGTAAGGGTTAAGCGAAGCTAAGGAACTTTGTAATCAGGATTTATTTCAGTTTACAAAATGGAAAATGGGAGCACATTCTTTATATTTAAATAGAAATGTATTTGTAATAATAACTAGAAAGTTTCCTTCGTTTCCTTTTACTTTGGGTCGTCAAATGTTGGAGTTTGCAAGTTATTTTTAGAATCAAATCGAAAGCATAAAATAATCATTCTTTGAATCGATATTTTTCAATATTTTTATATGACAAATTTTCCGACAAATGAATTTTTAAAAATCTCATAGCTAAGTCAAAAATGCATTAAGTTTAATTTGGAAACCATTTCGATGTTAGTTTTTATAAACTTAACAGAACTGCATACTCAATTTAAAATTTTAAGAAATTAAATTTTTTCTCAAATTTTGACAAATTTAATGATGTAACCCCATAAAATTTTAAAGTTTTAAAAAAATTTCGAATATTTATTTTTCAACCAGACATATCTAAATCGATTTAACTGTTGATTCTGATCAAGAATATATATGATTTATAGGGTCGGAAATAACTCCTTCATATAGTTAGAAGCTTCTGACAAAAATTATAATAATAATACCCTTTAAGGTTATACAAATGAACAAATATCTAAAAGAATAATTTTATATATATAGGAAATAATTATAATCTATATATAATAACATATATATTTTAGTATTATATATACATATATAACTCACCCTTAAAGGCCTCTCGCGGGCGGGCAGCTCTCCGTGATCACAGGGCACATCGCCGCACTTGATGTCGCGCGGCTGCTTGATCTCCTGGCGCCGTGTGGAGCCGCCCGGTTGATCCGCATAGACCAGGTTCCGGATGGCACCCCGGAAGCGCGGCTCAAAGATGACGCTGGGCAGGGCGAGCAGCGCCAACTTGCTGCTGTACCAATTGGGCATACCGCCCACATACACATCAGAGTTGCTTGCGAACTTGCCGAACTGGAACTCCTTGCCCTTGGTGGATCGCTGCTGGGAGACGCCGTCGACAATGAGGGAAGTCTGCTCATCGTTCCGCAGCACCTGCACCTTGTGCCAGTGGCCATCGTGCAGCTCCCGACCCACGGTGATGATCTGGGCTCCTCCGCCCAGATTATATCTCAGCCGGAGGGCGCCTTCGACGAGCTTAAGCTCGAAGAAGTCATAAGTGCCGCCGTCGTCGGTGTAGAGTACCAGTCCGTTGGGCTGCTCCGTCTTGAACTCCAGCTCCAAGGTTCCGTTCAGACCGGTGTACCACTTGCGAAAGGTATAGAAGGAGCTCTGCGATCCGTCCAGCTGGAAACCGGCGCTGAGGGTCACAAAGCTGGCCGCCAGGCTGACCAGCAGGGCGCTGACGATGAGGACGCGGTAGGAGCGGCGGTATTCTACCACCATGGGAGGCACTGCTGAATCGCTTCTCCGCCGGCGGCGCGCCTTGTTGAACCGCAAGTCCGGGCAGGCGAAGGAGGCGGAGGCAGAAGCGTGGGTGGGCAGGAGCCGGAGCTCCGCCGGATTAGCGTGTTCCTTGTCCATAATCGGTGGCTTGGCTGTCGTCACTGACACAGGAGCATGGTTCTTAATAATGGCGGAGTCCTGATATGTTGCACTTGGCGCCTTCATTCACACGCACAGCACCACGTACACGCGCAAGGATACGCACACGCACGGCACAGTCACACGTTCGCCTCACCCACACAGACGCACCTACGCACGTTGCGCGCGTAAACGTAAAGTGTCGCTTTGTTCTCGCGTCGTTTGCTCTCTTTTCGCGTATTCCAGTCCTTGAGCAAGAGCTTTCTTCCCGTCCTTCCTGCGTCGTGTGTCCTTGTGTTAGTGTTACTCGGGAATCGTTTTATCCGCGCCTGCCGCTTTCATCCGGATATAGCGCGAAAGTACAAGAGAGCGAAAGCTCTGGCAGGCGAAGTTGGCTGCGGCTGTTAACGGTGTTTGGGCGCTGTTAACGGAACTGCACTGATTATTGCTTCGGATTTCGCGTGGTTTCTTGTTCTTTAATGCTTTGCACTTTAAGTTTTTGTCATTTCGCTTATTTCACTTTTTTTTGACACTTAATTTGGCCAAGTAATTAGAATAATTGCATCGCGTCGAGACCGTGTCACACTGTGATACTAGATGAAGCGGTTGTGATGGCTATGGTGGTTGTGGGGCCGAAAGCTTGCCGGATACGGATACCCCTGCCACCCGAGCCTGAGGCGCCCACGAGCGCTCCAACGTACATGTACATACTAAAAATCGGAAAAAATTTTCACTGCATGTCGAGGATATAGGCGAAAAATTTTCCAAGACCACAAGAAGCAAAGCGTTTTCACTGGCCCCAGAAAGGGGGATTATTCCTTCATTCAGCCAACTACTTAGTTATTTATGCGTATCGATTGACGGCTATTGATTTGATACGATTTATTTCACACACACTCTGATTTTTCAATTACACAATTAATTTTCTATCTTCTTTGACTTTAATTTTATATAACGATTCGGGATTGCCTTTGCCGCGGCGTGCTTTTATTTAATGTCGGGGGGTTGAATTTATTTTTGCAGATTTCTTTGTTCAACTTTTTTTTGGGGTACAAAAATTTTGTGTGTCGAAATTTGCTCCGCAGCACCTTCTTCCGCTGCTCTTGGCTCCGTTATCGATCCCGCGCTGCATCCACGACAAGACTGAACTGCAATTTCAAACTTAATTTCCTCGCACTGTTTCCAGCGGATAACGAAAGCTCCGCCAGCTTATTCACAAAAAGCCAATGGAGCGGCCTAGGCGACGTGAATTGTGCGCTCTAATAGAATATATAGCTGCGAAACTGTGGCTTCATTTTTTTTTATTAAAATTAAAAAATGATTAAAGCTAACTTTTAATAGGATAATAAAGGATGTGTCCTATTCAAGTTACTTCTATAGTGTGCTGCCCTAAAAAGTATGCTACGAATGACCGAAAGGCCGTGCGCCTTGTGTGTAGTGTACGGGAATGCCAAAAATTAAAAGCTCGCTTACTTCGCACGAGGCATGCATATGCGTACTACTAACACACCAAGGCGTACACACACACACACACACACCAGCTGCCCACTCACCCACACAGGCGAAATGTGCGCACAGCACGCAGGTTCATAACCTGCACCACTCAAAGCGTATTAGATGGGACACGCATACATACACACGAACTCGTGTGTGGGCGTCCATGTGGTCACACTTGCCTGCCCACTCCCTCGCTCCCCCCGCACACTACGTTATCACTGAGACGACCCGTGTAAATTCCTTGACATTTACTACGCAACTTCGACAACTTGGTTTCGAATTCGATTTGCATTTGCAACGGAATGTGTGGTCGTTTGGGTGTCTGTAACTCCCACTCTCCCCACTGCCTTAATAAGCAATTGCAAGGCCGTCGCCGCCATAAATCGTGGCCACAAGCGAACGCATATTAACTTGAGCACACCAATCACGCACTGACCATTACGACAGGGACTTCTCTGTTTCCTGTGGCACTTACATTTTTTAATAATTTTTTAACGCACGCTAAAGGCTAAACAAATGCCAGCACGTGCTGGCCATTGTCCTTCGTAGTGATGACGTTCGAGGACTAAAACGGGAAGTGGGAATATCGAAAAGCTAATGGAAAAGAAAAAGCTCGTATTTAAAAAGAGCGCCATAAGTAACGGTTTTACGCATGAAATGTGGCAACTCTTTCTTTTATTCCTAGATTTTTATTTTTTGCAAAATTTGAATTAAAAATGTTTTTCCGGAAGTATTCAATTTAATATAATTCAATTAAAATTTATAATTTTCATTTTCTGTTTGAACTAATAACGGTTTTTAGGTCTCTACTGAATTTAGTATATTTATTTAGTATAAATGGAATACGCGAAAAGTGCAGCCACACCAATCCGATCGTTTACTTACAGCTGTTGTTATCAGTGAAGCTTTTCCAAGTGCACTTTACAAGGCGTCTTTTCCAAACGATTTGCACAAGCCGTAAACCATCTGCCGGATATCTGAAGTGCTCTTGAAACCCGACCAAGTTTGTTGCCGTACTCCACAGTCACTGCCCGGATCCGCTTACGTAATGCTCGCCAATTTGGGCAGACGTTTGGGAACCCGTTCCGCCCTTATTACCCGGTTAATGCATACGGAGCGGAAAGTACGGGTTAATGGCGCCGACTTGCACATTGTAGAGTCCGGCAGTGGAGAGCGAAGTCTTCTGCTGATGCCTGGAGCTCTGGGCTCTGCCTGGACTGACTTCAAGCCGCAGATCGAGCAGCTTCCCAAGTTGCTCCCCGGACACACGATCATCGCTTGGGATCCGCCGGGTTACGGCAAATCAGTGCCACCGCAGCGCAAGTTTGGACTGGAGTTTTTCAGAGAGGATGCCCAGGCAGCGGTGGATTTGATGCGAGCCCTGGATAGGCCAAAGTTCTCCATCCTGGGCTGGAGTGATGGAGGAATCACAGCCCTTATCGTCGCTGGTCGTTATTCGGATGCTGTGGACCGCCTAGCTATCTGGGGAGCTGGAGCTTACCTGAATGCAGATGAGGTCAAGGCCTTGAATAACATCCGTGATGTGGCCAAGTGGTCCCCACGTATGCGTGAGCCCATGGAAAAGGTGTACGGCGTGGAGAGATTCGCTCAACTCTGGGCCGAATGGGTGGATGCCGCTTGTGCATTCTACGACCAAAAAGATGGTGACTTTTGTCGGTCGGAAGTGAAGCAAATAAAGTCACCTACCTTTATTCTGCACGGGAAAAAGGATCCCATGATAGCAGAAGAACATGTCCCCTGGTTAAGGAAGCACTTGCCCCAGGCTAAGTACCACGAGTTCCCCGAAGGCAAGCACAACATCCACCTGCGCTATGCGGAGGAGTTCAACAAACTGGTTGCAGACTTTTTCAATAAAAAGGCATAGGCTATGAAAAGCAAGTTGATTTTGACTTGGAACTGGTAAGGCCTAACATTTCCGGAAATATAGATTTGGCTTAGGTTATTTACATATCTTTACATATTCGAACTTCCGGTTAGAGTTTACCCTTAAAGTAACGAAAATAGAATAAGTGAAACACTGGTTTGAAAATAGATAAAGATATAGTTATAGTTGTCTTGGTTTTTTAAATAATGAATAAAATTGTTTTCACTCGATAGATAATAGTTTTTTTTTAACAGATAAGGCCGTAAAGTTATAAAGGTTCCAGTATGCAGGTGTCCATAGGTCATATATAATTTCAAATAGATACTGAAAGTCTTGATGAATCAATTTCATATCTAAACTAAAGCAAACTGTCTATCTATGTTATGAATCATACAAAAATTAATTGAGAAATACCCATACTATAAAACACGATTGCTAGATATCTGTAGAAATTAAAACTTTCGATGCCCATTTTGGATCAAGAAATTTTCCATTCCTGTCTAAAGAAAGTACGAGAAATTGTGCTTTCCTAAACCCTATAGATCTCCACCCTCTACGGAAATACCAAGCTAAATTTTTATGAGAACTATAATTTAAGATTTATTATTTCACAGAGCGCTGATCAGTTGGTGGCCAATTTACTGGACCGTCTCGATGAGGGTCTTGACGTACTCATCGTACTGAGCCTGGAAGAAGTTGCCAGCCACGGGACCGCCGAAGCTATACTTCTGGATGTAATCACGGGCCTTGACGTTGATGCGGCCAGTGCGGCTGGTCTTGGACGTAAACTTGTCGGTAGTGATCTTGTCGTTCTGCTTGAAAACCAGAAACACATAGCGGTGCAGGCCAGTTCCCTCACGGGGACCAGCGCCGATGTACTCGGCGACGGTCTGACCCTCGGACACTTTGTTGCCGGGGATGTTGATGACCAGCCAGTGGAGCAGCTCACGGAACTTGGGGTCCTCGCGGCTGGGTGCATCGGGATCCACCATCAGAATGGTGTACAGGGAGCCAGCCTCGGCATCGAAGGTAACCGTGGGCTGGTCCTTCACCTGAGTGGGAGTCAACTCCTTGCCCAGCTCCACCTGAACGCCGGATGGGTAGGTGATGGTGGCCTTGGCGGCGGGCTTAACATCGATGATGTCGGGAATGATGCCGGCGGTGTCCATGTTAGCGGGTTCTGCTGCTTCTGCTCGGTGTGGCGTTAGCGAGGTGACTCTGGCCCGGATTCACGATCGGCTGCCTTTTATCGCGAGACAGAGTCCACCGCCGCCTAATCAGTTCCGTGCACTTTCGGTTAATACCCCAACGCATAGATAGCGAGATAAGCGATTGGTTATATTTTATTGTTGGGTAAACGAAAACCCGGCATGATATATGCATAAACTAGCCGGTCATAGTCTTGTTCCGAATGGGCACCCAATCATCATACTGCGCCTGGTAGTAGTTGGCGGCAATGGGATTCCCCAGGCCATGCTTGGCGGCGAAATCCCTGGCGTTAAAGTTCAAACGACCAGCACGAACACTGCAAAGCCAAAAGAGATGCATCACTACAGGAATTATAGATGATATCAGATACCTTACGTATTCGGAATTGTGGGCGTATCGATCTCGATCTTGCCCGTCTGACGATAGAGCAGAAAAATGTAGCGATGCAGACCAGTGCCCTCGGGGGGGCCACTTCCGACATAGGCCGCTACAGATTGACCCTTCGACAGATCGCTGCCCGGAATGTTAACCACAGACCAGTGCAGGATCTCTCGGAACTTGGGGTCCTGGCGACTGGGAGCATCGGGATCCACCATCAGCAGAGTTATCAGGTCGGACTCTCCTGCGAGACCTTCCCAAGTAACACTCGGCTCATCCTTTACCTGGGTGGGGGTCAGCTCGTTGCCCTGTTTCACCGCATTGCCTTCGCCGTAGGTGACTTGGATATCGCCAACGGGAACCGCATCCACAACATCGGGAACTATGTCATCCATGGTGTTACGTGTAACGTGGCGTTAAGAAAAATTACGCTACTGGTTTTTTGGGGCTCTTATCACTCTAATGATGACCAAGCCGGTGGGGTGATAACAATAGCAAAAGCTTCAGACTGACAAACCGGATGTCTTTCGGTTTTATTAAAATTTTCAGTTCTAATTAATTAATATCTGGATGTTGAGAAGCCCCAAGGTTGCTCGGTCGGGATGGCAACAGCTAACACCAACAAATAATAGTTTTATAGACACTGCAAAGTAAACTTTATCGCGGTTTCTAAACTGATTATTCGGTCGGTCAGCCTGTGCTGCGACATTGATTTGTCTTCAATGGAAAATTGTGAAAAGCCCTTCAACGATAGCACAAAGCTTTCATGCTAACTGGCATTATTTAGGCAATTTTTACTAGAAAGGCAAAGATCACTAAAACAAACAAAGCTGACGCTGGCCGTCTGGATGAGTCACAGCTTGAAACTAGTTGCTTCTTTATGGTAAAATCATAAATTAAAAATATATTTGCAGAATTATGCATTTTATATTATAAAATGTAAGCTTAAAATGGAGATTGTACCACAGTGCACACCTGATAGCAAAGACAGTACTTGTTGGGATCATAAAGTCCGCCCATTCTTCATTTATGGGGCTGTAAATGTATTTTTGCTATTTTATTGTGAGCAATACCGGGTCATCAATCTATCATCTGATAGCAATCCGATAAACGAAGGCTAGAAGAGAAAATATATATAGAAATTACATTTATGAGGTAGTAATAGCTTTAGTTTGAAGAGAATCAGAGCTAAAAAGTGACTAAAGCTCAGATAAAGATGGAGAGCAGGGCTTTTAGTATATATATCATGCTATTTATTAAACAATTCGAATATTATTAACAATTGAATATCAATATTGATAGCGCTGACAGAGTTTTGGTCTATTAAATACGTTTAGTTGCATTTATCGCCTTTGTTCTTTGCACAATGAAAATAATGATTAATATATATATATATATATATTTTTATAATACGATAATACAAATAAGAATTGTGGAAACGTGAGAGTGAGATTTGAGAGGCGTCCCGCGACGCGTATAAAACAACATAGTTTACAATTACATAGAGTAGGGTAAATAATAGTACCTAGTGGTATGTCTATAGGGAACACACTCCGCCCGCATAACCAGTGCGCGCGAAGGCTATGTGTGCGGTTTACGGCAATATATGGGATCCGGGGGATGGACCCGCTATTCGGGCGCCCGCTGGCCTTGCTGGAACTAATCTTGGAATACATTAACTGCTGTTTCAATTTGATTGAGGAAATACCAATAGATGCGGTAGCACGTTCTCCTTTCATTTCGTTAAATTCAACTGTGATACTTCTGCTCCTTAATGGCTGGCCGCTGGCCGATTTAGCAGCGCGTCTCGTATAGGCCGCTGCGTCCGATGTAGCGCACCCATTTGACCACATCCTGATCAGAGTAGTTGATTTTCGGTTCGAACACCTTTAGGTAGCGCACTTTGAAGCCGGATGGCGCGAACGGTACTTCGAAGTTCATAGAGATTGGCGGCCGGGTCCACTTCTTTTTTGTGTCCGTCTCGAGCAGTTCGATCTCAGCCGAGAGTTGCGTCTCCTTCATACCCGCCATGCGCTTGATCTTCCACACAATGGCGTTCTCCGAGGCCTTGTACTTGGCCTTGCCCTTGAGGCAGATCAGCTGCACTCCCGAAGTGTTCAGCGGCGTGGGTATTTTCACTTCGATCTTCTGACCCAGCAGTGAAGGCTTGAAGTTGGATTTCAGCACCACCTTAACCTCCATTTTGGTGCGGCCCACCTCGCGCACCAGCGGAATGACGCGGAATGGCAGTGAAATGTCTTTGGTGGTGCGGTAACGCATCAGCTCGAACTCTCCGTCCGGCGGGATGAAGCTGATTGAGTGTTCCGTCTCGAACTTGCTCAGCTTGACGCACTGATGGAACTGGCAATCGTCGATGACCACAACCGGCTTGCCGGATCGAGAAGTTTCTGCCTCGGAGTTGCCCGAGAGACCGCGGCCCTTCGACTCCATTACGATCTTGTCGTTGATGCCGAACTTGCACTCAGGCATGCCTACGAAGTAGGATTGTAAAGCTATAGGTCTCGATTACACTTAGTTTACAGCTACTAACCCGACAAGTACGACTTCATAACCACCTTGCCTGCCACATGAGCGGAGAGCACCTGACCTTGGGGGCTCATCAGCAGGTTTACGTACTCCAGGACGTCCAGGAAAAGCTCGTTGCGCCTATACTTGATGCCCTCGCGGCGCCAGCCAATCTGGCCAGTCACCTGCGAGGTGATCTGCATCTGCTCCTCCTTGGTGGCCGACTTGATGCCCTGTTGCGTGATAAAGGTCTTCAGCGTGCCGGAGTCCGTGTTCTGCGGATACCCAAAGTCCAGGATCTCGTCCAGCAGTTCGTAGATGAGCACAAAGTTGTTCTTGATGTTCTCCTCGGAGATCTTACCGAAGTACGACTGCATCACCTCGATGATCTTCAGCAAGAACTCGAACACCATAGCAGCGTTCACATTCTGCTTGGTCACAGCCGCCAGCCAAATGTTCGCTCGCTGCAAGTGATAAAAGAGCGGATGATGACGAATATCCGGTGGGCGATGCTAGACCCAAAGCTCACCTTAATGTGGAAGAAGCTGGTCCGCGCAATGTTGGTCACTGGCGAACGGACTTGCTGGCGGGCGTGGATGACGTTGACCCGAAAGGCGTCCACGGCATTGCGCCCGATGTCGTCGCGATAAACTCTCGAGATCAGCACCTCGCCCTTGTGGTTGTAGACGAACAGGCCGCCGATCATCTTGTGCGCTGTCTGCTGGTTAGACTGTCCACCTGTTTGGAACCTGTACGGAAAGTTTGCCTCCAAAGGATTCGCACAAAGTTCCGAGCGAAAATTTTTATCAGAAAATCAATTTCACTCCCCTTTAGTGTGACCGTTGGCAGAGTTTATATACAGACAGACCAGCAGTTGCGATGCCCGTCAAATTAGCGTCGATGAGTTAGCGTCGAAATGGAACGGTGGCAAAAGGGAACATGCAGGGGATCTTTAATTTAAAATTTATTTCGTAATTAAAGCACTAATAAGAATAAAATAAAGTTTTAAAATGATTAAAAAAAAAAATTTACTATTTACGCCAAAATAAAGGACATTTATCGTTGTTTTCCCTACCAAGTTTCAATTTCTTTAAACCGTCAGTTTTTGAGCAAATCGCATAACAGTGATCTAACCTAGGGGTCAACTTTATACAAAATAAGTCATCCAAAATTGTAAAACTTATTACTTTGATGTACGAACACGTGCACATATGCGGCGGAATGTTATGCCCCTCCCCGACAAGCAAAATCGACGCTACAAATATCTTACGCCCTTAAATGAACGCGTGCAAACTTGCACGGTATCTCAAACGATGGGCACAAATATTCTATAATTTCGAATTAAATCTAACCCACAGATTTTTAAAAATTAACGCTTTCTTTTCCCGATCTCATTTACAATCACTGGCTTCATATCGATAGGGGCGCCTCCCACACCCTATCGATGAATAGCCCGCCAGAAAATATTCCTATTGACCACTTAAAAAATTGTATAAAATATGCATGCCCCATGAATGGAATTGACATTCCAAGCATTTTGGTAGATGTTTCATCAAAATCCGTTTAGCCGTTCAAGAGAAAACATAATTTTTTCATTTATTTCTATAAATGTTCCTTCGAAGAATAAATATATCTGGCAGCCCTGTCTGCTTAAAATTAAGTCAATTTGATTTAAGCTTTATTATAAAACTTATGCAAACTGAAGATTGTACCTTAACGGCATCGCAATTCTGAACATTTTGATCCACGTTTCGTCAAAATCCGTTCAGTCTTTCATAAGAAATCTCAACTTTTTCATTTATTTCCATTTATGTGCCAGCGAAGGATAAATATATCCCGCAGCCCTGCCTGTCTTAAAAAATAAAAACTTTATTTAAACTTTATGGTTAAACCTATGCAAAAGGAAGACTGTCCCATAGAGGGCATCGCAGTTCTGGACATTTTGATCTATGTTTCATCAAAATCCGTTCAGCCGTTAATGAGAAATCCCGACTCTTCATTAATTGCAGTTGGGTTCCAGGGGTGCATAATCATGCCTCCTTAGTATATAAATTAGTAATTCAAATGTTAATTTCTCCAAAACTACTAAAGGGAATTCGATGAAACACCTACCAAATTGCTTAGAATAACGATATCATTTATTGGGCAGACTATTAAATGTTATTTCGAAAATTTGCTTCTCAAATCTGGTGCTTCAATGCCCTTGCCTTGTAATATGATTTCAGGTCAAAAATTTGCAACGCAGTGAATAAATTATTTCCGACCATATAAAGTATATATATTCTTGATCAGCATCAACAGCATAGTCGATTTAGCTATGTCTGTCTGTCTGTCAGACCAATTATATGCAAACTAGACCCTCTTATTTAAAGCTATCTAAATAAAACTTTCCACTTAGCCATCTATACACTTTTACTAGTATAAAATATATTAAAATGTAAAGAACTACAGTGCCGTTTGTTCCATTTGCATACATATGTACATACATACGTCCTACCATTAAGTTTAAATCACATTCTTTTATTTAATGTTCTTCGTCAAACTTTCACACATACATTCATACATACATTTACGGCAATAAATTAAAAAGTTGGGATTTCTCATTAACGGCTGAACGGATTTTGATGAAACATATATTAAAATGTTCAAAATTGCGATGCCGTTTATGGGACAATCTTCCTTTTGCATAGGTTTAACCATAAAGTTTAAATCAAGTTTTCTTGTTTTTAGGCAGGCAGGGCTGCCGGATATATTTATCCTTCGCTGGCACATAAATGGAAATAAATGAAAAAGTTGAGATTTCTTATGAACGACTGAACGGATTTTGACGAAACGTGGATCAAAATGTTCAGAATTGCGATGCCGTTATTGGTACAATCTTCAGTTTGCATAAGTTTTTTTAATAAAGCTTAAATCAAATTGATTTAATTTTGGGCAGACAGTGCTGCCAGATATATTTATTCTTCGAAGGAACAATTATGGAAATAAATGAAAAAATGATGTTTTCTCTTGAACGGCTGAACGGATTTTGATGAAACATCTACCAAAATGCTTGGAATGTCAATTCCATTTATGGGGAATGCATATTTTATACAATTTTTTAAGTGGTCAATAGGAATATTTTCTGGCGGGCTATTCATCGATAGGGTGTGGGAGGCGCCCCTATCGATATGAAGCCAGTGTTTGTGAATGAGGTCGGAAAAAAGAAAACGTTAATTTTAAAAAATCTGTGGGTTAGATTTAATTATAGAATATTTGTCCCCATCGTTTGAGACACCGTGCAAGTTTGCACGCGTTCACTCAAAGGCGTAAGATATTTGTAAAAGTTAGCGATTTTGCTTGTCGGGGAGGGGCATAACATTCCGCCGTGGTATATTCTAAAATCTAAAAAGAACGAAATAGGTAATATTTCCTGATTTAGATGAAAATCCCACAAAATTGTTTTGAATGGCTTTTCCTTTTATTGGGCAGTTACATTTCTTAATGGTTTATTCAACAATTTGCTATTTTTATTTAATTTAGTATTTTTCCTAACATGGTTTCATGGTCTGGTTTAGCGAGTGGTTCTCTGCTGGTTCCATTTTCATAGTTCGCGCCTTAGCTATCAGCCCAAATACTCCATCCATTGTTATTCGGTTTTCTCGAAATCTGACTGTTAAAACAATTTCAATTTTCACCAAAAATTCTTTAATCTTCCCTTAGTAAGTCAATATACCGTGCATATGTGCACGCGTTCGTACATCGAAGTAATAAGCCTTACAATTTTGGATGCCTTATTTTTTACGGAGCCGACCCCTAGGTTAGATCACTGTGATGCGATTTGCTCAATAACTGAAGGTTTGGAGAAATTGAAACTTGGTAGTGTAAAACTACGATAAATGTCCCTTTATTTTGGCGTATCGGGTATTGCTGCACGCGTTTGATTAGTCGAGATGTTAAGAAATCCGTGAAAAAACTATTTTTCACATACTTTTTTTAATGTATCCAAATGTCAAATACTTTCAAACGCAGTAAAAAACAATATTAAATTCTTCTTTTAGCATTTTAAAACTTTATTTTATTCGAATTAGTGCCCTAATTACGAAATAAATTTAAAATTAAACATCCCCTCCATGTTTCTTTTTGACGCTAATTTGAAGAACATCAGTTGCGAATGTTTGTCGCAATAGTTTGGTATTTTTGCAATGTACCAACGATAGTTAAGCAATCGATAACTTTTCGTGCAGATCCGGCAACACTGGGCAGCCAACTTAACTTCGTACATGACTTGCGGCTTTGACAACAACAAAATCTAAAAATATAAAATCAAATCAACTATTTCTGTGTTCTAAACGAAGCGAAGTCAAAAAAAGAACACGATGCCTGCTGAAAACCTGGAGGAGCAGGGCCTGGAGAAGAACCCGAACCTGGAGTTGGCGCAGACCAAGTTTCTGCTGACTCTGGCGGAGCACAAGCAGGATGCGGCTTTGAAATCGAAGCTCCTGGAAGCCATACGAGCTGACAACATGGCTCCGTGGTACGAGCACATCTGCACTGAACTCGGCTGGACCGTAGACAAAGATCTTCTGGCCCGCATGAAGGAGAATAACCGTGTGGAGGTGGAGCAGCTGGACGCAGCCATCGAGGACGCCGAGAAGAACCTGGGCGAGATGGAGGTGCGCGAGGCGAACCTAAAGAAGTCCGAGTACCTGTGCCGCATCGGTGACAAGGCTGCGGCGGAGACCGCCTTCCGCAAGACCTACGAGAAGACCGTGTCGCTGGGCCACCGCCTGGACATCGTGTTCCACCTTATCCGCCTGGGACTGTTCTACCTGGACCACGACCTCATCACACGTAACATCGACAAGGCCAAGTACCTCATTGAAGAGGGCGGCGACTGGGACCGTCGCAACCGTCTGAAGGTCTACCAGGGCGTATATTCGGTGGCAGTGCGTGACTTCAAGGCGGCTGCCACTTTCTTCCTGGACACCGTCAGCACCTTCACCTCCTACGAGCTGATGGATTACCCCACATTTGTGCGCTACACTGTGTACGTGGCCATGATTGCCCTGCCCCGCAACGAGCTGCGCGACAAGGTGATCAAGGGCTCCGAGATCCAGGAGGTACTCCATGGCCTGCCCGACGTCAAGCAATTCCTTTTCTCTCTGTACAACTGTCAGTACGAGAACTTCTACGTACACCTGGCCGGTGTGGAGAAGCAGCTGCGCTCGGACTACCTCATCCATCCCCATTACCGCTACTACGTGCGCGAGATGCGTATTCTCGGCTACACCCAGCTGCTGGAGTCATACCGCTCCCTCACCCTACAGTATATGGCCGAGGCCTTTGGCGTCACTGTGGACTACATCGACCAGGAGCTGGCACGCTTCATCGCCGCCGGACGGCTGCACGCCAAGGTGGATCGCGTGGGCGGAATTGTGGAGACCAATCGACCCGACAACAAGAACTGGCAGTACCAGGCCACAATCAAGCAGGGCGATCTGCTTCTCAACCGCATCCAGAAGCTTAGCCGCGTGATAAACATCTAATGTAGTTTCGTAAAAAAGGTTTATTCAAATTCAACATTTATTACAGAGTAAAGCTATTGCAACGTACAATAATAAAAACGATAAAAACTCATGGAAATGCTCTAGTAAATTGAACGCGCACGCTCGCCTATGTATTAACTAAATTCTTTGGAATCCTTTGTTTTGGTAACGCCGTCTTTAGTGTATTTGAGTATTATTGCAATCATTCCATTTTTGTACTTAACTGTCATTTGACCTGCTATTTGAACCTAAGCCTACAGAGTCGCTCATAGCGCATCGCCCTCGTTCTTCCCCTTCCACGACGGCTCCTCCTTGGGTTCGTGGACTTGGCTGTTGGCGGATTCGCTGACCGGAAAGGCGATGGAGGGCTTGTTGTTGGCCATAAAGCTGCGCGCCATCTCTTCGAGTGCCGCCGAGGAGCGTAGCCCGCAGTCCAGCGGCTCATCATTAAGCTCCTGAGCCCGCTGCTGATGCTGATGTTGCTGGTGCTGCTGCTGCTCCGCCGATGCCTTGGCCATGTCGTGCAGATTCTGAACCATTTCGTGGATGGGGGAACCCTGGGCCAAGGCCTCCGGTACCATGGGCAAGGCAGCCAAGTTTGCTAGATTGTGCCGCCGTAAGTCGGCCAGACGATTCGTGCTGAGGTTGATCAAGGCGTTCATCATCACCTTGTTGCGCTGATAGTCCTTGCGCAGGTGCTGTCGGATCTCCGTGTGGCAGTGCTCGTTGTTCGTCACGATGATTTCGCCGGTGTCCGTGGTGGTAACGCGGGCCTTGCAGTTGAACTTGCGCGACAGATTGCACTGCCAGTACTTCTTGTCCTTGCGCACGTACTGGATGCCGAAGGTGTGCCCGTCGTGGACCAGCAGCGGCTTGCCGCGCTGGCTGAGCATGAACTCCAGCTTGCCCTGGAACCAGTGCTCGCCGGGTGCGACTACAAGATAGGACGAGAATACTGGTGAGGATCGGTACGGATCGATTCGGCTGCTCCGATGAGTGTATGGCTAAGAGTTGAACTCTTTGCTTTTTCCCGAAAAAGGTTGATTATGTATTTTGTTTTGGATGCGCCAGGACGTACACGAATGAGCCCAATTATATGTGTGTTTGTGTGTGTATGTGTGTGTCATGCAATTTACTTACCTGCCAGGTGGTTGTTAGGTGGATGCAGAGTATAAAAACAAATCATATTGGACCTGATATTATGGTAAGGGAAATAGCTTTCACAAAAAGTTGAAATGAATCTTTACGTTAACATGAAGTTGGAAAATTGTTTAAAAAGATATGTACAACTTTGTTCAGAGTTCGGAAATAACAGTCTAGTGAACTAGTGAACTAAAGTATAAAACGAACTCTAATCTCTGGCATGTTCTTATATCAGGTCCAATTTGAAATGCAATTATAAGTAATATAATTTTATATTTCCCTTTTGGTTAGTTGCTGAATGATTACCCACAGATATACGCACAGGGCCACGAAACATATCCAAAATTGCACTGGTTAGCTTAATCTGGGATTCATTTCACAGCACCTCTTGACTCGTTCTTTTTGGTTTATCAATTCGCATTAATTTATAAAATACAATATGCACATCGTTACTGATATTTACAACATTGGTTACTCTTCTCTCGAATCAAATTCAATTGTCTACTACAAACTCTAGCTAGGCAAAAATAAATTACTCCTCCTCCTCCGGGGGCAGTGTGTGGCATGGGCATTCCCCAGCGACAGCCTTACATGTTTTCCATTTTGAAGCTATGCCTGGTGTTTGGGGATATTGTAATGGAGTTGATAACGTGCGCGGTGCCAGGATCCGTTGCTCCCTCCGCGGCGACCACCTCCTGCTGCTGCTGCTGGTGAGGTTGTTGTTGCTGCTGCTGCTGCTGCTGCTGTTCCTCCACCGGCTGGGGCGGAGGACTCTGAGTGTGGAGGGAGTGACTACTGCGATTGGACTGTGGGCTTTGTTGCACATGTGCCGGGGACAGCAGCACCCCTCCGGCTCCCGATCCACCTCCCATTTCCAGGTGATGCTGTTGCGGAGGGTTATGAGGCGAGTGCTGCTGTTGCTGCTGCTGGAGGTGATGGTGGTGCGTTTGCGGCTGCAGGTGCATCAGATTCGGGTTATGCATGAGATTTGCCGACCCTCCGTGCTGCTCCATGTGCGGCGGCGCTGGATGCTGCTGTACCAAAAGGTTGGGCAGCGCCTGTCCAAGGTGATGATGATGGTGCGGGTGTTGTGGGCCTGCAGTTCCAGGAATAACTGCTGGAGGCGGTGGCGGTGGAGGCGTCTGATTGGCAAACATGTTGCTCACTCGGTTTCCATGCTGCAGATCCGCACCCAGAGGCCCACCACCGTCTGCCAGGGAATAGCCCGTCTGGCTCGGATTCGATGAATTAAGAGAAACTGGGGAACCTGCCACTGAAGCCGACGCAGTCGCTGGCGTTGCGCCTGATCCCTGACCGCCGCGCATGTGCGGCGTGTGATTGTGTACGCCCGTCGCGGAGATTATCCTGCCCAGGTGGGTTATGCAGCGCGCCCGGCACATGCTGATCCGGTACGACTTGCACAGCCAGTAGGTCTTCATGCCCTGCTGCGTGGCCACCGTGTTGTTGCGGTTGAACACGCAATTGCCGTGCAGCAGCGAGGTGGTGGACAGCATCACCATGTTGCTGCCGTCTGCTCCGACGACACGCCACAAACAAACGGACAATGGTGGATCATTAGTGGATAGTTCATCGCTGGAGCGCTTAACGGGTGTTATTTACAGGTAGGAAGGAAAGGGGACGGGCGGGTCAAGCTATTCAGTGGTGGGGAGTGTCTGTGGTCGGTGGAGTCGTACACCACCACGTGGAATATGCAATTAGGGAGTGCGTGTTCTCGTGTCTGTGCAGTTTTTGTTAGGCGTTAGAAGAATTCGTAGTGATTACCACTTTAAAAAACAATTCTAAAGGCAGTTTTAGCTAGGAAGTGCTACTTGAAATGTCTTTAATAACTCAAAAGATGAAATTAAATGAATTAATTTGGTTAAAATGCATGGAAATATTTGCCTTAAGGCTAGCCTCATCTAGTTTTCAGACATAGGTCTCCCTCTCTTCTTTTATAAACTCTAATAGGTTTAGATCTGAAACTCCTCCTGATAAAGCTTAAAGAATGCATTTATGTTAAAACACTGAATTAAATTTCGTTAACTTGTAATCCAAATATCAAATTATACATATTTTTATATATAAAAAAGTGAAATCTTTGGTAACAACAAAATGATTCGATACCCAACTCTACCTTCTACAACACTGATCAAAAATTACTCCAGAAGCCTATCAGTCTGCCACAATTGGATCTTGACAACAATGAAAGCCATCAGTTGTTTATCTAAGGTTCGAGTGCGTCTGCTTAAGACTTTTACCCCAGTTAAATCAGTAAATATCCCTCTACAATCAATAGCGGCTTTGTTAGTTTTTCCATTTGGTTCCATTCCTGGTTAGGAGGGGCAGTGTGATCAGTGATCAGTGGGCTAGTAAGTACGTTGAATGCATGATGATGTTATACGGGCGGGTCGATGAAGATGGATGCAAACCGAAACCCACTTTTATAAAAAATAAAATGATAAATATGAACAAAAGCCAAGATATGTATGTACATGCAACAAAAAAGTGATCAAAGGAGGCCAAAAGGCATACAAATGGTGGGCACCTACTTGAGGGAATGTCCATGTGATTGGCAAAGTTCTTGGAGTAATCATTGGGCATGAACAGCTCGTTGGGATACTCCGTTCCCGAGCTGAGGGGTCCATTGTTGCTGATGCCTCCGGGTCCGCCAGAGTTATTGGAGCTGCCGCTGGGACCACCGCCGCCGCCGCTGTTCCCGCTGTTGTAGAACTTATAGTTGTCCAGATTGAAGGCCGGGGCGAAGGGATTGCGTATGGCTGTCGCCGACGAGGCTGAGGAGGTTAGGCTGCCAATGCTGCCCGAACTTCCGGCACCGCCAGACGACGGCCCGTGATGAAGGCCATCCGATTCACGCTTCAGTCCGAGATCGTAACGCGACTCCACCATGGAAATGTGCGGAATGGGCGGCATAAAGAACTCTTGTGTATTAAGGGTATTCTCCATTTCGGAGCCATTGTCAGTATTCTCGGCTCCGCCTCCGTCACTTCCGCCAGAGCCGTGATCCTTTAACGAGCGCCTCAACTGTTTGCCCGAGTAAATGGACAGGGAATCGTTGCCGAAATCCGGCGGCGCTGTCCGTTTGCTTGGCGTGTACAGGTGGCTGCCGGCTTCGTTGGAGACCCTGCTCGCACCGCCTGGCGAGGCATTCCGCGAATTGCTCTGACCCTTGCTCTCATTGTGATCCGTTTCCGATTTGCTATTGTTATTGCTATTAGAGTTTGAGTTGTGGTTGTTGGCACCGCTGCTGCTGTTGTTGTGGGTATTGCTGCTGGTGTTGGGCGATTCCTCCGTCTGTGGCGTCTGACTAGTGGATTTCTCCGAGGCACTTGAGCCTGGTGAGGAGTTGGAGTTCGTGGCCAGACCCTTGATTTGCAGCAGCTGGCCAATCTTCATGAAGGACTGCAGTTCCGTGTGTTTGACATTTACCACGCCCTGGTACATGAACTCCAAGAGCTCCAGCATAATATTGAAGCTCACATCTTTGAGTATAACTGCAAGGAAGTGGGAATTTTTGAAGAATTTAATGTGCGGAATATTTTGAAATGAATTTGGGGGATTTTTAAATCTTCTCGGAGATTATGGTCGGAGGATTTTATGATTTCCCCCGCCCAAAAACCCAAAAAACATGATTCAACGTAATTACTTGTTTACATAAAGACTCGGGATCGGCAATAACATCACTAGGAAAGGAGGTCACATTCGGCGTGGAGATGTTATCATCGAAACGCTCAAATACTAAATCAATACATAAAAACACATCTACGATAAGAAATCTGAAAACTTAAATATAAACTCAACAACAGCGCAGTAGCACAGTAGCAGCAGCAGCCATTATTATAAAATAAGCAGCATGGAATATGTATCATGGCTGAGCTGAGCTCTCGACACGGCCTAAGAAGCTGTGAGGCAGTCCGGGAATCGGTTCTGCTTCACAGTGGTGCGGATCTATCTATCATGTCATATTCATTTTGATAATAAATAGTTTTCTTATTTAAGACATTTAACATTTGACTTGTATTTGGGTTTTATTTTACGCTCATTTGAAGAAAACGTACAAGCAATTTAATTGCCAAATATGTATATAAAAAGCTTCCATATTAGTTATGAATTTCTAAAAAATATACCTATAATTTCATCTAAAAACACATGTTTTTCATGTTATCTGGGGCTGACAAACTTAACATTGTTTCTGCTTTAAAACTGCCCTGTTAAATATACAAATAACCCTTAATTAAGGAATATACAAATGTTTATAGAACTTTCCTACAGATGAGCATCATCAGATCAGATCACTGCGCGGGATTCTTATCAGTACTTTCCCCCATCATCGCCCCCTGGCCACTGTGCCTGTCCCTCTGGCAGCATCAACATCTAGTTAAAAACAATATTATCACTTGTTCTCAATAACAATTTTATTACACAAACACCCGTACAGACCCCGCACGGTATGTATGTAAATATATTAAATCGACGATCAGCAACAGTCAAACTCGGTTGCTTAATCTGACCGCCGCCCGACGACATCAATTGTGCCTATCATTTGCCGTAGTCGTCATTACGGGACGTTTTGTCTCTCGCCTATCTATCTATCTGCGCCTTGGCATGTCCGTGTTCGTCCGAGTGATCGCATGGCGAAGATCAAAATCCGGGGTACAGTACGGAGCCGAGCTTGACTGCTCCGGTGACGGATAGATACGTGATTACATATAGTGGGGGTAGGGGTAGGGAAAGCAGGGAGGCAGTAGTACTATCAATCGCATTAGTTCTACGCCGCACAGAAGACTCCAGGGCAGATACACACCGAGCATCGTCGGAGATAAAGACCGAGCGGCCCTGTATCAAGACAAAGAGATCAACACACTGAACCCTCGATCTCTCTTTCTCTGGAATCAATAAACCATTTATGGGCTTCGGACTGTAGATAAACTTTGTCTAAAGTTCACGGAGAACGTGATAAATCCGTGCCTGCGACTGCTGCCACTGATAAGGAAACCGAGAGTGCCCAAAATTCCGAATCCGGGCATCTCCACGGGAGCTCAGACATCAGATCTTCAAGTCTTGATCGCTGTTTGCTTAAATGTATGCCACCATCCATCCCAAGAAACATTTAATGGCCGCCTGACCCGCTGTGATCTTCGCTGATATCAGAACAGTTCGTAAATAGATCGAGGGTACTGAGATTCGGGGCTGGGGAATTGGAACTGCAGCGATATCTTCCTCCTTAGCTCGCTTTCGATTTGTTTCGGCCCCGCCGAGATCACGCCCACTCCACAGGCCTCCACCAATCGGATCGCAGGCGATCGATTTCGAAAACAATTTTATTTTATGATTATGATAAATGTTTATCGAATCAGAACGCCAATAGACTCTGTTGTTGTTCCCCCTGTGAACTAGTGGAGTGGCCTGCCTCATTTTGACAATGTCGTCGCACAAACATTCATAAATATTGGTTATCTCCGAACGCCATAATAGTCGAGTAGTCGAATCGAATCGAATTGTAGCGCTGGTAGTAGTAGTACAACCTGATAAAAACAAAACCAAGAAGCCCAGCGACAGTGGGAAGGCTGGCCTTAAGGTACCTCCTATTCCTATCCCTATTTATATTTTTCCCTACCCTTTCCAATACTCTGTGAATCCATGTCTCCAAAGAACAGCAACTGGCCTAGGGATTAGGCCAGCTTAGCCACAGGTCTATTTGCGGCTACTGGCTATGGGCTACGGCTGGGTCCCATAAATTACGAATTGTCAACACAAATGGCCAATAAAAGCATTTATGAAATTTCGTATGCTCAAAGTCAAAGTTTGATATAATATGAAGAGACCATAAAGTGCTCACTCCCGTACGTAAGCAGCGATTAATGCGATCGATTGGGTAAGGCCAGAAGCGGAAACAGTAGAAGGGTTACAATAAATTCGATAATACCTATAGGTTTTTACCAATAAGGGTATATTTAGGAGGAGATTCTTTAAGAAGAGTAGATTTTCTATGATCCATTTGGGGGATCTCCTAGCTAAGGAAATGTACATCTTTTCTACGTATGGTTAATATTTAGAAATGTTCAGGCTAAACACTTCAAAATTAAGAGAATTTTAGAGACATAGTTTAAAGGTTCTAAGACAAATAAATAAATAAATAGAGAATAATAAGGAATTCCAAAAAAGCTTCACTATTTTACCTTTAACTAAGTAAAAGATATTCCGAGAAATGATACTTATAAAAATCACTGATCTTTCCACAAAAAACCATTATAAAGCACATTTGATAATCTCTAAAATTGCTATAGCTTCTAAACAAACAAATCGAAGATTAAGCGCCTTAAAAGTCCGAAAACCCAAAGTCCAAAATGGCTGAAAATGGATTAGTTTGTTGAAATAAATAGTGCAGCCCACTATAAAAAAATGTTTACCCCCTCTGGAGCTGGTGGAAAACAAAATTGCCAACGTCTTTGCTTTAGTCACGGTCCGGCAATATATTAATAACATTGGGTATTTAATATTTACGACAAGTCCATCGATCGATATTATATTATCTACCCGGACCCGAACCGTTTATGGCTGGTAAGCAACCGCAGCTATATTCGATCGCCGTGGCTACTTGAAATCGTGAATGGCAATGGAGCGCGGGGGATGCGGACTGGGGCAATGGAAGCCCAGTGGCTTTGGAGTCCGTTCTTGGAGAGGGCCCAATATCACACATGGCACATGGTCCGGTTGTCTGAGTGCGTTATCTAACGAGCAATAAGTTCAAAATCTTATTTTACGATCAAGAGAGTGATACCCAAAGTAAAGTGGCTGGCACTAAACGCAAGGCTGATAAAACGCTGCCCCCAGACGATGTCCGTCTTGTTTATGCCAATAATAAATAGATAATTTTCGAGGATTAGCATTGTATTGGGTTGGGTTGGCTTGGCCTGGACAGGCGTAGATATAACCACTTGACCACTTGGCCCGGACGGAGTGGATTGATTTACACGGCCGCAGCAGCAGCGGAAACAGCAACTAAGCAGCAACGACTGCAACAACCACACAAGCCCTCTTCTAATCAATATCTCGAAAACTGAAGTCTCCGGAGTCCGGACGACTGGTGGGGACCCAGTTGCTCAGTTGGGCAATAAATGATTGTTAAACGCGATAAAAAGATAAAAATATTTAGACTATTGTTGTTGCTGCGTGTTACACACACGACGAACAATGGGGAGACACACAAAGCAACATCGGGAACACGGAACGCCATTTGGCTTGTTAGCACCTCGATGACTGGTGTTGTTGCCTTGTTTGTTGGTTTATTTTTAATAACTTGCCCCCGCTTGCGCCTAGCGTTATTTATAGGGTATATTAATATTCTTTATCTTTGGAAATACCTCTTGTAGCAGCGTTCAGTCGTGGGTTTGGTAGGTAGCACCTTCCTGCTGCTACTTGAAAAGATAAAACCTTATTTTTTATTGCCCCCTGATCAGATAAAGCCACCGTGCAGCAGGCAGCCGTGTTCAACACGACCGCCAACGAAATCGAACCGAACAGAGCCGGGAGGGGTCGCTCGGTGGGTCTGCCCCGTCCCGGCGATATGATATCCATATACCATATATACTACCACCGTTCTAGAGTCCATTTGAAGTACATTTGATGAGGTCAGCAACGCACCCAATCTCCCCGATCCGATCAAAGTGGGGCTCTAGCTCTGGCTCTCGCCGTGCACCTTATCACGGTGCATATACTCCTATGCGTGTCGTGTGTAAACAATTCGAGCGCGGATCTGGAGGTGGAGGACTCCTGCAGCTACCACATAGCCATAGACAACGTGGCGGCAGCCCTGCTCGCTGGAGGAGGATTATCATCAGACCTCGATTCTTACTGGGTTGCTGCTGTTTGTCTTTAGATTTACAACCATTTTGCAGCTTGAACACGATCATGAACACTAAATTGACAGAGACTAAATTATGAGGCTTATGTCAATCTAGCTGGGATTCTAAAACCTTAATGAATTTTTGTACTTATTATGATCTTGGAATTTTAAATGACAACTAATTCATTATATTTTTAAAATTGGAATTGATGAAATTAATATGCCTTCACACAAATTATTTAAGATGTGAATAAAACAACGTATTGTTGCTTTATTGACAAAAAGAATTTAATATCCATTTCAAAATACTAAATTGATTTTAAAATGAATCGATAGACAATCGATCATAGTTCTATATCTTTTTTTGTAGTGCCTATAAACATTAATTGATTACTTTTGTGGAACTTATCATAGTGACCACAGTTCAAATAGAGTTTTGATGAAATTCGAGCCATAAAAAGAGTTCTGCCTAAGACCCACTTTCTTTCCAATGTCCTGGTAAGACTAACTCCTACAATTTGCCTGTTTCAACTCAACTTTTTGTCAGTTAGAACTAAAGTCGTTCTGTATATGGACTGGAGCAGGTCTACCTGCACGTGCAGCAGAGGAACTCAAAGTGGAACCCCACCTGGAGGTTGAAGTGGAGGTGGAAATGAAGGTGGTGGCGTAGCTGCCCTGATAACCGACGAATGTGTCATGGAATTAAACCCAAAGGTTGATTTATATCTAAGCGGCTGACAGCAGTGACGAACAGACAGGCTGACGTGCGGACTCGGGCTTCGGCTCCGGTCCCCGATAAACTGACACCTAGTGATCCAGTAATGAACTGACCAAAATAAGCGGGAACCGGAGGCTCATTGAGGAAGTGCACGCAAGTGTAGATGCCTCCAGAAAACTGATACAATAGAGGACAACATTTCGCAGCTTGCCAACTAATGGTGACCGGTGGCAAAGGTGTCAATTGTTTGGGCAAACACTGGGGTGAGAAGCAAATGCCGCCGCTGGGGCGGGTACTTACTGATGGGATGCTGGCAGGGATTGGTAGTGAATATCTCCTGGAAGTAGGGGCTGCATATCGCCAGCACTATCTTGTGCGCCTGGAGCAGCTTCCCGTCGCAGGCGAGCGTCACGTCGACCAGGTCGCCACGGTCGTAGAGGTTCTGGAAGCCGCTGGCTATGTTGTCCTGGAAGTTCTTCCAACAGAGCTTGAACTCGTCGTCCATGGCGGATCCGCGCCAGTCTCTCTGGCAAATCAGACTATTCCCAAAAACAATTGATGCGTACAGACGATTTTGCTATTCTCGTGCGAATCTGTTTTTTATGGCTTTTGTTTATCCGCTTTCGCTCGTGATTCGTTCACTGCGCTTCGCTGTGCGGCCAAAAATCACTATTCACGCGTTCTCACGCACTTTCTGCTACTCCGTTCCCTTGGTTTCGTTTGTTTCAAGCGCTTCTTAATCCGCGGTTTCGCGCTCACGATCTCGATTCGTCCGCGTCCACAGGCGCATTGATTTTGATTCTCTAATTAACACAGTGTGATTTAAACATTTTTATCGGCGACGCTGTTTACGTTCCGGCTGATAATGAACCCCTCCGCTCCCCGCCTCTTGCACGTCATGTGTGAACTGTGAAAACGTAGCGTTTTGGCCTCACGGCCGAGCGGTCACACTGGCTGCATTCAATTTTATTGCGAAAAAGAGTGCAATGAAGGAACAGAAAATAATGTAATTTGATTTAATTGTATCTATTTACATACATAGATAAGGCTTAATTATTAAAATAAAACTGTTCTTTTTAATTAAATTCTAAGTTCATTAACTGTCACCAATGGCAATCAAATAAAAAAGGTGGACAATTATTTTAAATATAGAAGTTTTTAGATAAATCATTCAAAGACAGACTGTATTGTTTGTAGTTTTAAAAACATATATATAGAGTTTTAAAATCACAAAAATTATTACAATTAAATTAAAATATTTTCCTCATATGTTTGATTCATTTACAATTAAGCATGTTTATCAAATGTAAACAATTCATTTTAAAACATAATAATTAAATCATTATTAATGCCTGCCAATAAGATCCGTTGTTGCTTGGAAATTTACGCGAAAATTTAAAATTTTCCACGGCCAATAACGGTTTTCCGCTTTTTACCCGTTTCAATCGAAACGCTAAATCGATAAACGATTCATTTGTCAATTGAATTTTTAGCGCCAACTACAATACTGTTTGCCTGATAAGCGCTTATCTTAATTGGTTTGTTAGCTGCTTCGTTCCAGGTGTATACGACTAGCTTTGTGCGCTTTTTTATAGTTCGAAGCTTATTTCCTACCGGTTCATGTGGCCGACGAGGAACTACAAGTTGATAGCGGGCTTGCCCACGGTCATAAATAACCCACTTTACATTTTAAACAAAAAGAGAATAGAAATAACAGGGCGGCTTATCAATTAGCCATGAGTCGTTTGCACGCCACAGGTACACACATACGCATTCGCAGTCAATTGGCCACCGATTTGATTTGCCTGATTTAGTGCTCAAAGAACTTTCAGCAAATTGGCCCACTCGCCTCGAGGAGTATTCAAGCATATCATAATGGGTTGTTGTTGTAGTAAGTGATTTACACGTACATATATGCAAAAACAAAAACTCCGACTAACGACGAAATGTTTACAGGCACGAGTAAATCTGTCGATTTGCCACCTGTTCCTCCGGCACCGGGAAAGCAGCGTTCAACTTTGCCGGAATTCCCTGTCTCTGGAAATGTGATTACATCCCTCCTGGAGGATCAGGATTTAATGGAGTCACTAATGCGGCCCTGGAGGACGACTAAGACGGGATAAATCAGCGATTAAGCCACAATGAAAACGATTACGCAGAGGGAAAATTTCTAAATGATCAATTAGCCAATTGGATGAGTCACTATCGAGCTGGAGGTCGGTTTCTCAATTGACGAATCCCCGTACATATAGGTTTTGTGTAAACATGTTCTTTATTGTTTGAAAAATATAAACCTTGTGCTGAACTAAATATAATCATAATCAATTCGGATATATAGGTGTTTTTAGTGTCCATTACCATTTTAATTGCCCGCCAAAATAGTCGCTTTCCAACACTGAAAGAAAGTTGGTAATTCGCACAGAGGCAAGTGCGGTCATACCATTCTCCACCAGCACGTGTGCGGTGTTTTTTGTATTTAATTTTTAATTTATACCGAATTCTATGAGAATAATTAGCCGATAATATAAGCACAATGGCCATACAACCCAACCGTCGAAAAAGGAAACACGAAGAGCCCGACGCGGACCACCAGGACGACGGCGAGGTAGCGGTGCCCAAAAAAGTTCCCAAAGAGTCCAACACTCCAAAGAAAAAGAAGGATAAATCAAAGAAAATCACAGAAGGAGAAACGGAGGAAAACCCGCCAGAAACTAACGGAGCAGAATCAGCAGACTCCACACCAAGCAAGAAGAAAGGGGAAAAGCCTGAAGCATCAACTGAAAATGAAGCGCAACAGGTGAATATGGAGGTAAGCGAATCTCCTTCCAAGAAAAGCAAAAGGAGAAAGGATAAGCAACAGGATGAGGACGAGGTTAGTCCCGACTCCGGCATTGAGCCGGAAGAGAGCCACCCAAAATTTCCCAATGACTTCAAGATGATGCAGTTCCGCACGAAGCTGCGTGGCAATAACTTTATTACTGGTAAGTAGGCTGGACATCGCATTGAGTCAATATTTAACTTTTGATCCCAACCAGAGCTGCGGCACTTTTTGTTCATGGTCACCACCCGGCCAAAAATCGTGGCTAAGTACATTGAGAAGCGCGGGAAACCCTTGGAGCTGGCCGAGGCTTTCGACAGAATCGACAAGAGCAATCTCTTCCATGTGGACTATCTCACCGAAGCGCTGCAGCGTGTCGTCATGGAAATACTTACCAACCAAAAGAGTCATATGGAGTCGGCTGCGCATGGCTGTCGCTACTTCTTGAAGGCCCACGGCGGAGTGCTTGAGAATCTGCTGCAGTCGTCGCGACCCAGTCATCGGCGCAATGCCCTAAAGCTGCTGACGGCGATTGTGTGCGTGGAGCCTCAGCTGGGCCGTCAGGTGCTTAACTCCTACGATGTCCTCTCCAATGTGACTGTGATGCAGCAGATGTTATCGCACGCGAAAAACGATTACCAGAACGAGGATACGGTTCGCAAGGCGTACATACACTTTATTTTGGCCTTCCTGGTCGATGGAAATACGTTGCTTATCCGGAACATCCTGGACCGAGGTCAGCTAATCGGCGTGCTGGCTAAAGGATTGGTCTACGATGACCATGTCACTGCCTGCGTGGTACTGAACGCCTTGAGGCAGTACGTGCTGGAGAATCCCGATATTCAGAAGACAAAGAAGGTATTGGTGTTCGACTTGGAATGCTGTAAAAACCTGCGACGCCTTTATGACTGGGAAGGACCGAACGGCCTGCCAGCACTGTTTGACAACAAAAAAGGGCGAAAGCAACCGCCAAACGAACAGGAGGCAGAGGCTGTCTCGGCTGCAGTCCACGAACTGCTTCTGATGCTGCTTACTTCTCGCAAGCACGGAATTTGCTTTGATGCCATGACGCACTATCGCCAGAAGCAGAACAAGCTGCAGGGCAAGGTGCTAGGTTCGCTGTACAAGCCCTACAAGAACCCCCGCAAAATGGAGCTAGTCTTGCAGACGTTGAAGGCGTGTCCGGATTTGGGACGTAATACCGTGAGAAATTGCTCGTTGCTGCTTAGTCCTGTCAGGAGTACAATCGAGGAAGTGCCCGATGCAGCGCTTTTCCTGGCTCAGGTCATCGATGCTGTGCCTCCCAGTGCGCTCTCAACGGCTTTCGACAAGATGACACTTACGGACTTCAGTTTCTGGATCAAGGAGCTGTGCCTGCCCATCGAAGCCTTGATGCACATCACGGGCAAAAGTTATTTGAACCATGGCGAATTCCGACTGAGATTTGCAGTGCAACGTCTCCTGCTCTCCATGATGCGGCAGTACAGCAACTATGTGCGTGCCATTGCCACCCGGGAGCAGTCAAAGAAGGCGGGCAACTCCCTGCGCAAGTTTAAGTTTGATTTGCTCAATCATTTAATGGTCCATTTCCCGACAATGGAATCCATTTTGTACTCCCTTTTCCTGGCCATCAAGCAGCAGAATCAGGAGGGAGTGGATGTTCTGGACTGCCTGTCAGTTACCTTAGACCTTGTGTTGCTGATGTGTAAGGAGAACCGGGCTTTTGTGAATAAGACCAGTCAAATCCTAGATTATCTAAAAGTTCTGAGCCCTTTGTACCAAACCAATTTCGATGAGCTTAGCCAGCCGCAAGACATCCTGAAGATACAACTGGAATTAAAGTCGATCAAGACCATCTTGTTGCTGTTTCCGCGCAGCTTGAATCCCAAGGAGAAACTCTTTGAGAGGGTTTTCCTGTCCTTCATCAAAGCCTACATGCTGGAGGATGTGGCCATAAAATCAGAAGCCGGCAACATGCTAAACCGTCTCTTCCACAATACGGGTTTGTTTGATTCCTGCCGCCACGAGATTAACATCTGGCTGGAAGCTCTTATTGGATTTGAATCAGGCACAGTGAGCAATGTAGCGAGAATTCTGTTGACAATACTCGGCCTGGATTGGAGGCAGATAGAGCTGCCGGAGCTGACCGTGGCGGAAACAGCCATCAACACCAAGAACCTAAGCAAACTGTTTGCCCAAATCGAGCAGGGACAAACGGTGCAGGCATATGTGGAAACCCTGACCCTGAGCAAGATGATGCCGCTGCTTTTGAAGGGAGTGAAAATAGTGGCACCCTATGATGCCTACGTGGAGCTAGTCTTTCTGCTCCTCTTCCACTATCACAGCAAGCCGGAATGCGTGTTTCAGCTGTACGATGGTCATCTAAAGAATCACAGCGATTACATGAAGAGCTGGCTGCCCGGGCATAGGAAGGATAAACCGAAGAAATTACCAGCTATCCTGGCCAAGAAATGGCCGCTGCTAAATCAAATGCACACAGTACTCGCCGAGGAAGATCCGCAATCTTTTGATCACATCTTTAAGGCGGAGAGCCCCGAAAACAACTTTGAGCTGCAACTGGGCGAAGGTCAAACCATGATGCTGGACTCGAGCCTCAGTAACCCACGTCGCAACATGATCTATGTCCAGGACCTGCTCTTCGTCTTTAGCCACCTCCTTTCCAGTCAGCGACTAAGTAAACTACAGGCGGAGCTCACCGCTGATTATCTTATCAAGTTCCTGCAAGTCGCTAATCAAGTTGACGGCGGCAAGGATGAGCCCGAGGGGGAGGACGATCAGGAGCAGGAGGAAACGTATACACAAAGTCTTTTGCACTACATTTACAGTATCCGTCTGGAACAACTGCATCCTACCGAACTGATGAGCGAGACCAGCGAAACGCGCTTGAACTACGTCATATTCCTGCGACGACTAACGGAGTTCTGCAGCACCTTGCCACGTTTCGAGAGCTACTCGACAAACTACAAATTGCACTTAATCAAAGCGTTGGATATTGCGTTGGACACATCGGTGGATAAGCTGGAGGAGCAGCAACAGCTCGTGGAGTGCGTGGCTCTGGTGGACGCCTTCGAATTGAACTCCAGCGAGTGCTCCCAGATGCTGAATCTTCTCACAACAAAACTGCAAGCCAACGACTTTATGCCGAGCAATAAGCCCAATCATTACTTTGACCTGCTACTTCGCCTGCTGGGACGACTGACGAAGCTGAAGGAGCCCATTGACTGCCGAAAGGCCTTTAAGGTTTTGCTGAACTTCTACAAGAAATTCTGTGAGCTAAGCGAGCAGCAGCTGGAACCCATGGAGGCGGCTTTGCTGCAGTTCCTGGTTCACTACCATCACCACCTGGCCGAATGCGATGAAGAGTTTTTCTCCTGTTTTTTTACAGCCTCTCGAAAGCTGAGCAAATCCGCCATCCGTCTGGCTAGTTTGCTTTTGGAACGTCAGTCCTCGTTAGCAGAGAAGTTTACGGAGCTGCTGCCCAGCAATTTGGAGCAAAAGGAGCTGGTGTATCCCCTCCTGGACATTGCTTTGACTAAAAAGTATCAAATACCTCAAGCGGTGTTGCAACGCTGCTATCAAACCTACAAGAACGGTTTCATGAAGAGCATTGAGAAGCCCCAGAAGGCAGCCCTCATCTACCGAGAGCACCCGGAGGCCAGTGCCTTGCTCATCGCCCTGTGCATGCCCAAGTCGGAGTGTGTGGATTATTGCCAGAAGCAGCTGAAACTCGACTCTGTGGAGCTCTTTCAGGTGCGAGTTCTGCGGGAGATCTATTGGCAGGCCTTTGCATCCGCCAAGGATGAAAAGCAAAAGGCAACCGTATTCGTCAATTACGTAAACCTCAATGTTCAACTGATGGCGCTGGATTTGAAGAAGCAGGCTTTGGACTTGCCCAAGCTGGAGCAAATAGCTTGGAACTGCTACGAGTGGTGGGATATGAACCGTGAGAAGGATCTTCCTCTGGATTGGAGTCGCTTGTTGAGCAACCAGCAATGGATGAATTTCTGCAAGAGCTGCTTAAAGCTGGCTCTCCACCTCGGCGAGGACCGACAATCAGTTCAGGATGAAACTAATGGGCTTGTGCTCAAGCTACTGGCCTTCCTCTGCGACGGAATGTATGCGGATTACAAAATGGAGGAGCCGGCGGAGGAGGACCCCACCACAGCCTTGCTTTACGAAATGATTTGTACCCATTCCTGCTGCTTTGACCACCTCTTGGGAGCGCCTAGTGACACTAAGACCCACCTTCTTCAGCTCATGGAAACTCTGGCCAGAAAGGCACCCAGTGCACTTCAATCGGCTCATGTACCTGTTATCTTGGGATCGTACCATGCGAAGCTCTCTCCCTCCGATCGCTACGGACTGGCGCTGTTGGAACACTACGAACGGTTCGACGTGGGTTTGGATCAGTTCAGACCCTTTATCTGGGGCGAGAGTGCCGTGGCACACTATGCCTTGAGAGCAGCCGATGACGATGAACGGGCACGCTTGCAGCAGCAGGAAACCAATGTGGCACAGGTGCTGGCCCTAATTGTTCGTGAGACTAGCGAGTACACTATCCAGAATTTCCCCATTTGGAGGAGCCTACATGCCAGCCAGCAGTTGCCTGCGTCGACGTTCCAGAATCCTGCGGAAAAATCCCACAATTTCGGCGACAATCAGCTGGAACAGATGGTCGAGCAGGGCCGTGAAGACTTCCCCCAGGAACTGCGTCGCATCTGCCCGAAGCGTGAGAAGATCTACGAGACCTGCTACGATCCCGCCTTCCTGCTTCCCCTGATGATGCACTGCTTTGCACCGGAGTCCGTAGTCTGGGCTCGCTGGCCGGTGCAGAATGGATTGCTGGCGGTTAGCTTCTGTGGACTATCCTCGCTGGACAAGGATATGCGCCTGGCGGCGGCCAGTTGTCAGCAACGCTATCGCACCCACTTTGAGCTCTCCAAGTTCTACGAGAAACCACTGTGGACGCAGGCCTACGACAACATCCAGGCTGGACTGAGCGAGCTGAGAAGCACATGGCTCGCACAGAGGAGAACGCATGGGGGAACTCCAAGAGTGCCTCTAATCCCGGCCCTGTTCATCGCGCACAGCTTCAACCTGAGCACAGAGCCAACACATCTTCTGTACAAGCGACTGATGATGTACCTCCGGTTAAAACAGAGCTTCAACTTCCAGACCATACCCGACTTCAATGTGTTCTTCTACTCCCAGGAGCCGGAGCACCATCAGTACCGTGAGTTCATCATTGAGGTGCTGCGGTGCGGTATCAAGTGCAGCGCTGATCTCTTCCTGCTGGTGTCCACCAATACTTTTAAGGTGTTGCTTGGATTCTATGGCTCTAGTTTGGCCACGTTAGAAACGAATCTGTTGTTGCTATCAGTGCTATCAACGTGCGTGAAGATCCCTGGTGCAGTCAAAATTATGCTGGAGCACGTGGGCATACTGTCCTGGCTGGTGGGTGTCATCCGCGACACAGAGTTCCATCGGTTCGATATCATCGAGGGCGTCATCAGCATCATTAACAATCTGTGGTATTCCGTGGCTGCCGCGCGGTCAGAACTGCCAGACTACGACCATGTCCAGTTGCGCCTGTATCGCCTGGTGCTGCAGCTTTTGCCGCTGCTATCGCCTCGCATTTCAGTGCCGGGCTTGGGACGCCTGCTAAACGTGCTTTGGAAGACTGGCTCGGCCAGCGGTCAGCATCGCGCTTTGTCCGCTGCCCAACTGGATGTCCTCATCGAGTGCTTGGCCCGGCAGTGGCCGGATGAGCTGGCGGGAGTGCGTTACGTGAAGAGCTACGGCGGTTCGGGCGCCTCTTCGCGGTCGGAGTACTGCGACTGGCTGGCCAGCGATCAGAAACTAGATGGTCATGCCGTACTCGCACTGTCCAGCCTGCGGGAATATGTCATTGATTGGTGGCAGGCTCACAACCAGGACGAGAGCAAGGAGGAGGAAAAGGAAGTGCTGGTGGAGTCAAAGGAGTAAGTCCTTTTTTAATAGTTTTTGCACTAGGTTAAGCTATTGAATTGTGTTTATTGTATAGGCAAAAAGAGTCTTCGATTTATTAAACTGTATGCAATGAAATCTTCAGCGTCTCTAAGTGTTGTCTCGCGATGATTGAGCGGTCTTCTTATCTTTCAATCCTGACTTATTACTGCCGTAACTCATGCTGTATCAATATTTGTGGGAGTTGCCCCGAAAGCGAATCACTCAGTGGAGTGTTGAAAATGAACTGTCATGTCTCTGGCTGCTCCATAAGCCTCGTCAACCTTCATTAGTCGGCTCGCAGCGTATGACAAATTACGGGCCATCAGCATAACAAAAGATCGGTTAAGCCAAAAAATGAAGAAAATCCGAAAAAAAGCAAGGCATATGGCAAAACCCTTTAGTGTTTGTTAATTTGGCCAATTCGTTTTCACACGCAGCAGCCACCCGGCACAAGTGGGCGTCCACCGATAGCCCCATCCTCCTCCACTTCGAACTGTATGCATCACGATGTATGCCGCGACCCCAGGCACCACCTACAATTTGTTGGGTCAACAAAATGTTAATCACCCGAAAGAGCTTTGGGCATAACCCGGAGAGTGATCTTCGGTCGCCGGATTTCTACTATAATATGTAAAGCAAAGTGCGCAGAGTTGACGCAATCGGCGAACGAAAGTATTCACAAGATTTATGATCTGACTAGATGTCTCGAAATCTAAGCCACTTGGTTACATAAACACCCGGGGTTGGGTCGCGCTCTAGAGTTGCAGATGGAGATGGAGCTCTGGATCCGACATAATTGATTGATATTGCTTGGCATTTTGTTGTTTATGAGGCGGACGTCTTGCCAAAAGGTATCAAATGTATCGTCGTTTGGCCTGAAAAATATAGTGGATCGAATAAATGTATAAATTTTGATTGGCCCGAGGCATAAGCAACATGGGAATATATAAATGTATTCGGCAAATGATCTGGGAAATCATCTCGCCTGATGGATTATATTAATATCGCATGGCTAGTTATAATCAAAATTAAAAAATTGGTCGTAAATCGAAGCGTCATTAATTGGCCACATTGTCATAATCTGCATGGACTAATAGCTTCATTGGATTGATTGGAAGGTGCAAATAAATGTATAAAATTTATACGTTTTAGACAGTTTCAAGGTTTTAATAATAATACCTATTTAAAGAGCCCAATGGGAATATATTTTGGAAAATTTTGACAGCTTACATTTACCTTAATGCACTCATTTCAATTCGGAAAGCTGTTCTGTGTTAGTTTTTAAAGCGCTAACAACCTGAAATTTTTTTTTATTTAAGTGATTTTAAATTGATATAAAAGTTCTTAATCCTTAGCCTTTGTTGAACATAATGGGTTTTCTCTTTTTTCGAGTGGCTTTAAGATTTCACTTACTTCACGCATCAATCAAAATTCTTCAATAAATCTTAGAGTTTCACTGGCATTTCAGTTTCTTCAGCAATAGGCGTGAAAAATCGGGACCCAGCCATGGCATTGAACTACGCACAATAGGCCAAAAATATATATATATATATATTTAGATAGAGTTCAAAAGTTCAGCCGGTAGCCGGAGCAGCATCCAGCAGCTGCCCAATATTCCGACAAGACAATGAGGCGGGATCCCATGGAGGCCCCTCTGTGGGCGTGACCACATTTCGCTGGACAATTAAGCGGCTGTCAAATGATTGATTTAGCTTACTTAAAAAGCGATTTCGTCTAATCCGGAACTGACAAGGCCCCGCCGCAGTGTAACCGAAGAGCCCAAGCGGCGACGGCGGATCTATGGGCATCCCCGGACCCCTCGGAGCGTGGATGCATATGATTATCCATAGTGATGCGTTAGCAAATCTTTTCTCAGGTTTCAGCGGGTTGCCTCTTCCCCTGGGTTTTGGGATTGGAGATGCTGCTTCTGCCGCGTTCATATTTCACACCTTAAACGACAATCCACGATGGCTTTTTCGACTATTTGCATTTTAAATTATTAGTTTTAGTTTTGGCCCTCATTGACACGTTTATTTTGTGGCGCACAAAGGCCTTTGTCTTATGTCAAAACGTATGCAATTTATACAAATTTATTTATAAACAAATTTTCTCGATTGTCTGCGGGCCTGTTTGTGCCATTTATTGAGCTCGTTGCTCTTTTTTTGTTTTTGCTATTTATGGTTTCATTTGCCACTGCCAATCATAAATGCCAGGGAGCTCTGGAGCTTCAACTCCTCCCAGAAAGGTAGAGAGGGGCCATCAGGTGTCACAATGGAATAAAGCTAAGCCCCAGGCCTCGATGCTGATCACTTGTCCAGATAGATGGATGGATGGATGACTTTATTATGCGGACGATTGGTATGAGTTATGTGAACGGTAGTGGGAAAAGGGCGTGGCCAATTGAATTAGGTTGCTGAGGTCAGCCTTGTCAGTTGTTGCCAAATTGAGCACGATGGAGGGTCAAACTTGCGGTTAGCTCAGGTTATGACAGCACAGAGGATCACCTCTGATGGGATTCCAATCCGTAACCGCAAAACTTCATTAGGAATCCAGTTCACATAGCTGCTGTGCGACCGGGAGCCATGCAACTAGCATTTTCAATTTGTCATGCACTCGGGAGAAATTTCGTCCACAAAAAGGGTCTTCTTACACCCATAAACTTTAAGAAAAATTTAGGTATTAGGTAGGTAGATTTGTTTTTAAATTAATAATAATGTAAATAACTCAAATTTCATTATGGTATATAACTTCTTTTAGAGGGATTTCCTTTAAGTGTACCATAGCAACTCCTCCAACTCCCCCCAAATGGCCTGCAGCTCATCACGTTGCGCCTCCAGTTGGACATGGTAGCATGTGCCTGTGTCTCTCCTGGCCAAATCATCGAATCAAAATTTGTTCAGCATACGGAGCAGCAAACGATTTTGACTTGGAAAGAGTCAAATTGAAAATTTGCAGGCGAAGGAAAACGCATGGAGCAGTTGGAAAAGGGTGCAAACGGGTTCAAAAGCTCACCAGGCAACGGCGTCGAGGCGTCTCGGCATCATTTCAAATATCAAAAGTCACGACGAAGAAAGCTGGTTTGCCGCGCGACGTGTTCAATGTTTGGATTTTTGGTTGTTTTTTTGCTGGCTTTCCTTGGTCTTTACGAAGCATTTGGCAAATAATGTGCTGCTAAGAGATGTGACTCCGACTCCGGCACCGACTCCCTTGCACTCGGTGGCACAAGGAAAACGAGTCAGCTGAAAATGCTTTTCACCGCCTGCCGATTCTCCATTGACAGCGGATGAGGCTCCTCCTCCGCCAGCTTCGAACCCGCACCTTTGCCGCGGGCTTAATTTCTCATACAGGTTACGGTGGCCCAAAAGGTGTTATCGCACCTACCGCGGAAATTTGGCAATGCACACAAAATGTGTTATTAAATGCAATGGTGCATTTGCAATTATTGAAGGGAAAAAGAAAACATGTTATTATATTTATATTCAGTGAATTCCAATAAAGGAATATTTAAGAGTATGATCTCTTCCCGTAACATTTCGGGAAGTTGAACTTAAGTTGTCTGTCTGGCTATCTTTGTTAATTAACTGCTGTTTCTAGGATAAAATAAAAAAAGACAATTAAAACGAAGAAAGTCTTGATTTTCCTTAAACTGTTTTTTAAGTTAATAATTACCATACAAGGCGCCTCAGAGTGCTTCCAGGTTTGCTGCCTATTTGGCATTTAGTTGCTCATCAAAACCGCTGCAGCTTTTTAGCCAAAAATAATTGCAAAACGGTCCAAGATAAGCAGACTTTCTTCAATAATCGGAAATGAAAAAAGGCAACCGGAAATCGAAGATTGAAACCATGAACCATCTTCAGAAATGAGTTAATTTACATGCTGAATTGGCGTTAATACGGGAGAAATTTGCACGAGGAAATGGCCAACATCAGCTGCATCTCCGACACCAACTTTGATCTGCGGCACGTGTGTGCGCCTGAACTGGCTTGGAGCAAGAGTGCTCATTAAGCGCTCGGCTGCTGTGGGCAAGGATTTGGCCAAAAACGAAACGAGTTGGTAGCAAAGATGCCACAGAGCGCGCTGTTGGGTAACTTGGAAAGTCTTTGGACGAGACACGCATTAAACACGAACGAAAACAAAAATACTGCAAGCAAAAAATAAATAAGTGTGTATATAAAACTTAATCAAGCCGCAGGCTGCGCTGTTCCACTAGAATTGAGTTGCGTCATGGCGGCGCCGCTTAAAGGTGTTGGGCGCTCTTGTGAATTGGCCAAGCTGCGAGCCAAGTTCAAGCCCAACACACAGCCATAATGAGCTTGGCTTTCATTCATTAGCCGCCTCCAGCCGGCGCTGGCTACATTCGCGCCATCTGCAGCATCTTCAGCGAAACTCCAGTGCTTTTGTCTTCGGCCAGGAAACCTCGACACGCTCGCGCCTCAGTCTGCAGCGAGCGTTCAGACGGTTTGGTTCAGTTGTTGTCTGCCAGCAGCGGTTAGCCGCCCCAGCGCCCAACTCCCCCGAAAAAATAAACGAAACAGTCTCTCCTTTGGACAAAACTCGTAAACCAAAAAGCGAACGAAACCCATTCGATAAACTGCCAGCCGCGAAAATTATCGGCCGGTGTGTGAACTCTCCCGCTAATTCGAAAATAACGATTCGAAATTTGGCAATTAAACGAAAATAAAGTGCAACGAGGAACGGATCGGAACGGTCGACAGCCAGCGGCAGATAGGCCGTAAATCCACCTAATGAATACAATATAATCCCAAAATACAATAAAGGAAACATTAGCAGCTAATTCGCATTTGATTAGTTTATGTTTCTGTCCCGATTCGAATATTACAATTTGATTGCGTGCAACGACTTTCGAGAGACGAGGAGAGAGCGGAGCGACGTGGCGCAGAGTCATCATCTGGCCAGCTGGATTACGGCGCTATAAAATTGGATATATCCTACGAACACAATCGAAATGCATATGGTGAGTATTACAACAGAGATTTAACTAAACTAATTTGGCAATGAATGTTTAATTTAAATATTGAAAGGGTTTTTAATTTAAGTTTCAAAATATTTATTTAGAAAAATATGTGTGTTTTTTATTGACTAACA